AGGGATCATGACGAGATTATTGGATATGACGACATTAACCAGCTTTTCTGGTATCCTGAGGGTCTGGCACGGATTGTCCTTGAGAACCATGTAGGTGATTTCTCCCCACAACATGCGTTAGGTTAACATGCCCTCCAGTCTCGCCTTGTGGACATCGCACCCTCCAAGCGTTACACGAACCTGGGGCGCGTAGACTGGAACAAAGTCTTCTTCAAGACCTACAAGGAGAAGCGTTCCACCGCGCATCTACTTGTCAACTTCAACCGCATCTGGATTCTCCACATTGCAATATACTGGTTCTACACCGCATTCAACTCCCCCAAGGTGTACGCGCCTCCAAATTCGCAATACCCCTCACCCGCAATGACTTGGTCCGCAACCGCCCTCGGAGGCGCAGTTGCCACGTTAATCATGCTCTTCGCCACGTTCGCCGAGTTCATGTATATCCCCACAACATGGAATAATGCCTCCCATCTCACCACCCGATTCATATTCCTCCTTGTCATTCTGGCGCTCACGGGCGGTCCGACGGTATACATTGCATATGTAGAGAGCCGTCCAACCCCCACCACCTCCCAGATCCCTGTGATCGTTGGCATTGTGCAGTTCTTCATCTCTGTCGTTGCGACCGTTTCTTTCGGATTGTTCCCTTCCGGACGCATGTTTGGTGACCGTGTTGCTGGCAAGTCACGCAAGTACATGGCATCACAGACATTTACCGCGTCTTACCCGGAACTCACGCGTACTGCACGTACTGCAAGCATCATGCTCTGGCTTCTAATCTTCGGATGCAAATTCACAGAATCATACTTTTTCCTCACCAGTTCCTTCAGCTCGCCAATCGCAGTCATGGCGCGGACTACTGTGCAGGGATGCAATGATAAGCTCTTCGGCACCGCCCTCTGCTCGAACCAGGTCCCCTTCACATTGACTATCATGTATGTCATGGACTTGATCCTGTTCTTCCTTGACACGTACTTGTGGTACATCATCTGGGTCACCGTTTTCTCCGTTGGTCGCTCTTTCTCGCTTGGCCTGTCGATCTGGACGCCTTGGAAAGATGTATATACCCGCCTTCCCAAGCGCATCTACGCCAAACTCCTCGCCACTGCTGAGATGGAGGTCAAATACAAACCCAAAGTCCTTGTCTCGCAGATCTGGAACGCCATCATCATCTCCATGTATCGCGAGCATCTCCTTGGGATCGACCATGTCCAGCGGTTGCTGTATCACCAGGCTGAGACTGCTGATGGTCGCCGAACGCTCAACCCACCTCCGTTCTTCCTGAACCAGAACGGTGGGAACTATAAAGGCACGTTCTTCCCCGCAGACGGTGAGGCTGAGCGCAGGATTTCGTTCTTCGCTAGCTCCCTCACTACCGCACTGCCTGAGCCTCTCCCCGTGGAAGCCATGCCCACATTCACAGTCCTCGTTCCGCACTATTCTGAGAAGATTCTACTCAGCTTGCGCGAAATCATCCGCGAAGAAGACCAGAGTACCCGTGTGACGTTGCTGGAGTACCTGAAGCAGCTCCACTCTGTGGAATGGGACAACTTCGTGAAGGACACTAAGATTCTTGCCGGAGAGAGCGAGGATGGAACGGGTTCGATCAACGAGAAGGCGAGCAACAAAGCGGATGACTTGCCTTTCTACTGCATCGGCTTCAAGACATCGAGTCCAGAATATACCCTCCGCACACGTATCTGGGCCTCGCTGCGCGCGCAGACGCTGTACCGTACTGTCTCTGGCATGATGAACTATTCCAAGGCCATCAAGCTTCTCTACCGCGTTGAGAATCCCGCCATCGTGTCCGCGGTTGGGGGCAACACGGAGAAGCTCGAGCGGGAGCTTGAGAGGATGGCACGGCGCAAGTTCAAGTTCGCGATCTCCATGCAGCGGTTCTCGAAGTTCAACAAGGAGGAGCAGGAGAACGCCGAGTTTTTGCTGCGCGCATATCCAGATCTGCAGATTGCGTATCTTGATGAAGAGCCTGGGCCAAAAGGCAGCGAAGGCCGGTTGTTTTCGACGTTGATCGATGGCCACTCAGAGATTGACGACGTTACTGGCAAACGGAAGCCCAAGTTCCGCATTGAGCTGCCCGGAAATCCTATTCTTGGTGATGGAAAGTCAGACAACCAGAACCATGCCATCATTTTCTATCGCGGCGAATACCTTCAGCTCATTGATGCCAACCAAGACAACTACCTTGAAGAATGTCTCAAGATTCGGAACATCCTTGGCGAGTTCGAGGAGTACTCCATCTCAAGCCAGAGTCCGTATGCGCAATGGGGCCACAAGGAGTTCAAGAAATCCCCCGTTGCTATCGTCGGCACGCGCGAGTACATCTTCTCGGAGAACATTGGGGTGTTGGGTGACATTGCTGCTGGGAAGGAACAGACATTCGGTACGATGACGGCTCGTGCACTCGCGTGGATTGGGGGCAAGCTGCACTATGGACACCCTGATTTCCTCAATGCCCTTTTTATGACAACACGTGGTGGAGTTTCAAAGGCGCAGAAGGGTTTACATCTCAACGAGGATATCTTCGCCGGTATGAACGCCTTTGGGCGCGGTGGTCGTATCAAGCACTCGGAGTACTACCAGTGTGGAAAGGGCCGTGATCTTGGGTTCGGCACGATTCTCAACTTCCAGACTAAGATCGGTACCGGTATGGGTGAGCAGATGCTCAGTCGGGAGTACTACTATCTCGGGACGCAGTTGCCCATCGACCGCTTCTTGACCTTCTACTATGGACATCCTGGTTTCCACATCAACAATATCTTGGTCATCTACTCGATCCAGGTGTTCATGGTCACTCGTGAGTCTCGATGTGTTGCGCATTCGATGTGTGTTCCTGACCAATCGTAGTGCTCTTCATCGGAACTCTGAACAAACAGCTCGCGATCTGTCAAGTTGATGCGCAGGGCAATGTGCTTGGTGGTCAGCAGGGTTCTGGGTGCTACAACCTCATTCCCGTTTTCGATTGGATCAAGCGCTGCATCGTCTCCATTTTTTTGGTGTTCTTCATTGCTTTCCTGCCTCTTTTCTTGCAAGGTAATTCAGTAGCATTTTACCCTGGGCTGGGCTTTACTGACTGGCGAGCTGCAGAACTTGTTGAGCGTGGAACCGGAAAAGCGTTGCTACGTCTCGGAAAACACTTCTTATCGTTGTCTCCCATCTTTGAGGTTTTCTCGACACAGATATACTCTCAAGCTATCTTAAGCAATCTAACATTCGGTGGAGCTCGGTATATCGCAACTGGCCGCGGTTTTGCGACGACTCGAATATCCTTTAGCATTTTGTATTCCCGCTTTGCAGGACCAGGCATCTACATGGGCATGAGGAATCTGCTTATCCTTCTCTATGCTTCTCTGGCGATTTGGATACCCTATCTCATCTACTTCTGGTTCTCTGTGCTCTCATTGTGCATTGCTCCCTTTATTTTCAACCCTCACCAGTTCTCATTTACCGACTTCATCATCGACTATCGCGAGTTCCTGCGTTGGATGTCCCGAGGTAACTCGAGGTCGAAAGCGAGTAGTTGGTATGGATACTGCCGTCTTTCTAGGACTATGATCACCGGTTACAAGAAGAAAAAGCTTGGCTTTCCATCAGAAAAGCTGTCTGGAGACCTCCCTCGTGCCCCATGGCGAGCTGTTGTCTTCTCGGAGGTCGTATGGCCGATCTGCCATGCGACCATCTTCGTCATCGCATACATGTTCGTCAAGTCGTTCCCCAACGTCAATGGCCAGCAGAACCCCAGTCCCTTGATTCGGATAGCTGTTATCGCGATTGGTCCTATCGTCTGGAATGCTGCTGTTCTCATATCACTGTTTTTCATATCGCTGTTCTTGGGTCCCATGTTCGACAAGTGGACGAGGTTTGCTTCGGTCATGGCTGCCGTCGCTCACTTCTTAGCGCTGCTTGGAATTGTCTCATTCTTCGAGTTCTTCGTAAGTAATTCAATCTACACTTTAATGACACTGAACTGACATGTGTCGTAGTGGTTCCTTGAACTTTGGGACTCATCTCATGCAGTACTCGGCGTCATCACTATCGTTGCCATTCAGCGTGCGATCCAGAAGATTCTCATTGCGGTCTTCCTGTCTCGTGAGTTCAAACACGACGAAACCAATCGTGCGTGGTGGTCTGGTAAATGGTATGGTCGTGGCCTCGGGAATACCGCCATGTCCCAGCCAGCTCGTGAATTCATCGTGAAGATCGTCGAGATGTCTTTGTGGAGCTCAGATTTCTTGCTCGGTCACATTCTCCTGGTGATTTTGACGCCGCCCGTTCTCATTCCATTCATCGACAAGCTGCATTCAACTATGCTGTGTAAGTGATGCTGTCGAGCTCTTTACCTTTTTGTCAGTCTGAACGTGTTGCAGTCTGGCTCCGCCCATCCAAACAGATTCGAGCACCTCTTTACTCGACCAAGCAGAAGAGACAAAGACGATGGATTGTAAGTCCCATGATTCACCCATCACTCTGTTGGCTTAAGTCTTCAACAGATCATTAAATATACCCTGCTTTATATCCTCGTGGTGTCGGGCCTGGCATCTCTCATTATTCTGCGTAAGTTCACATCACATCATCATCCACAATCCGTCCCTAACATGGATGGTTTCAGCTGCTCTCTTCCGAAACGAAATCACGTTCCACTGCACTCTTTGTCAGAATATCTAATTATTGGGACACTTACGCATGGACTGGCTTGGCTTGCGACTTGTATATCCCCTTATAAGCTTTCGACTTTTGCTTGGTGTATCATAGTAGACGATAGATCAAGCTAATCTACATGGACAGTCTACCATTCTCGCGTACTTGCGAATTAGCGAACCTACATTCTCTACAGCAAAAACTATATACGTTCTTATCATTCGCCTTCACTCACGTTCGGTCGGGGCATCAACTTGCTGCTGCTGTGACCAGGTGGAAGATTCAACAAGAGAGATTTTGCAGTGTCCGAAAGAGTTGTTCAAACTGAAGCACACAATTAGGCGACACGATATCACAAGTCGGTGACGGACCGACTACTTTGCTGACATCGGATTGTATTGAAGCTGCGTGGTGTATGCTCTAGATTGCATGTTACTCTATCGTTACGCGAAGCCTACTACCAAGCAAGTTAACCGGTGACCTCTTATCATGCCAGACAATCTCGGGCTATAACAAAAAGTGCGTAATATTGCAAGTCGAAAAATGGCGCTGAGTAATTAGTAATAGATGATATGGATTGTTGCATCGATTGTCCATGTGTACTCTTCAATGAAGGTCGCGCTCAGACATCATACGGTCTCGCGCACTATAGCTGTGACAACGGTAACGCTATAGTCGTCGACGTCAGCAAAGATACCACGGATTAAAAGCAATGGCTCACTCGTCAATTTTCTGCAAGCTCAGAACATTAAGTCCCAGAAAAAAGTCTAAGTCAAGAACGCACCCCTCCTCTGTAATAAAGTCCCTCCCGTAAGGCTTCACCTGTGAACAACACAGATACATGAAGGTGAGAGGCATTTGAACAAAACCAGGACTTACGTGAAAATGGGGTCATCTTCTTCCGTTCTCGCATCCACACTTGTGCGTACTCGATAATGCGGTTAGCCATCATCTGCGCCTGTACATCTTCAGAACCACCTGAACGAGCTACAAGGGAGCAGATAGCGACAATGTCAGGCGTAAAGACATTGTCAGATAGTCCATCAGTCTGCATCCGAAACCTTCGGCACGTTATCCAGTGGGAATTGGAAACGACGCACGAATGCAATGATAATATCACCATCCCGAAGTTTGGTCTCGTACTGAGCAGCCCGATTTGGTTGATCAGCAAAGTGAGTGGACGGTACCATGTTTGGCGGAAATTTTGTAAGCTGGCTATTGATGAAAGTATACAAATCAGGAAGCTTGTCAATGAAAAGCATCTTACTATGGACAATTGAAGAAATGGGTTTGCGGTGGTTGTCGGTATATTACCGAAGACGATCGGATGATTAGAAATCCGCTGTCACCAAGACTGTGAAGCCTGCCTCAGTTGAGTTCCTCTAGCAGTAAAGTCCGCCTACTTTGCAGCTCGCAATACACCTGACGATGCGTTAAGACTGATTAAACAAGCCGTACTAGATCCTTAGTAAACGTTCAGGATGGATATGTGTGACAGCGCTGAGGAACAGACCTGCATTGACAAGACGCTCCCGCAATACACCATGGTAGGCGCACTCAAGACATTTATACGGTGTCAACTCCCATCCCTCAACTCTTTCGCGCTCCTCGTACTCTTGAGTTGGATCAATTTCTGGTTCACCAGCCCATCCATGTTGTGAGTAACGATGTGCATGATACATGAGTGTTTGCGCAAAAAGTGACGGGTCAACGCCCGAGTCAACCCATCCGCCCACGCCGTCAGCAACACCAAATGACACTCCCTATCAATAGAAAGCACCATATGAACACAGGAAATATATAGGAGGACATGAGCTTACCTACCGAACAATTTTGCATCTGTCACATAAAAAATATCCACGCAACAACACATAGACCTTTTGAGTGGAACACATGGATGCTTTTGACTGTCCGAGACGCACCTCCGTCACGAAGAAAAAGTCCTCTCCTGCATCCCTGCTCGTCACATTTTTCCATTTTCCGAGCATCTCATCTCGCCAACGTCCTACCGTGGTGTCTGGTGAGAAAGGTACATGAATGCGCGATTTTTCTGGGGGCTTCGCTGCCCAGCTGGCGCCAAAATGAAATTGGTAGGGTCGGGATGGCGGGATAGCGAGTCTTGTGCTGGAGTATGTACGTGTTATTGGTCTGTTAGCACGCTGCGACACAGACGCTAATTGACAAGTGCCCTTTTGCGCGAGTAGGCGAGGCACTGACGATGACCATAGGCCAAGGTTCATCGTGAAAGGGAACAACAAATTGGTGGGGAGTGGTCTGGACTTTGATTTTGAAAACACATGACCTCCAACTGACACATCGTGACGCGTCCATCAATCCAAGCACTGATTCATTTGTTACATACTAATCCATATATGGATGCTAGTTTATACAGTTCACACCATAGTCGGCCGCCGCTGTGTAGTTGTTGTTGTCCAAATAAGCACATTGAATAAAACCTCACAGGCATCTTTCAATGTAGCTTTCAATCATACCAGCAGGTGTCAAGGGATATTCTTTCAGTTCCACTTGGCCATTCACGACAAAAGTGTTGGGCTGCATCATCATCTTGCGAGGCTACAAAAACAGTAAGGCCACATGATTTCGTTCCATGGTGAACACGCACTTGTTTCTTCTTGAGGACAACATCCCGAATCTCGCTATCCCATCCTGGAAGAGGCGTGGTAAGCTTGGTATAGAAGTCCCGTGCTCCAGCACCATCAGCTGTGCTCTTCCGGACTTGAAGGTCGATGAGGAGTTTTCCTGCAACAGCCTGTCCATGGGCCAAGCATTTCTGGCGGTCAAGCTGATCGAAAGGTATAAGGCAGGATCATCTGACGGTCCGGCATAAAGAAACTGACGTGAATATACAGGTTCTCTAGCGAATTATCTGCGCCGCGAACTTCTTCGAGAGTCACTAGACCTTCCTTAATTATGTGCTGGGTGATGCCAAGGCTAAGTGCCAAGACAGTCAGATGGCTGGCACATGTAATGTGAAAGCCGCGGAACTCACCGAGCTTGCATGTGTGCCTGGCCGTGTTTCTTCGTGGCAGGGTCATAGAACTCAAGAGCACGTAGACCTGCACGTGCCATTAGCAAGAAGGTAATATAAACGACATCATCGCAAGTCTTCTTATCGGTATACTGTAATTAGGGCTGTCAGTAAGTAGCACAAGCAGTGAGAGGGGAAGACTCACGCCAAAAATGTTAAGGATCGTTGGATTACTTGCGACTGAAAGCGACGCGGCTTTAGTGATCGTATAGCTTCACGGGACAGCTTTCCACAACTCACGGTAGAGGGCAACAACTTCCGCGCGACACTCCTCCATTGAGGACGAAACTTCGCCAAGAACCGAACCGGGTGTTTGACCAGGTTTATACCACGATGTGCTATGTCGCGTTCACGTCAGTTCAATAGTCTAAAAAGTATGGACATACATCTTCTTCCCAGTCAGTGGGTTAATGATCTGGAGTATGCAACTTGAGATTACGGCCGCGCTGAGGAAGAGTAACACAAACCTTCTCTGGGTCAAAGTTTTTTGAGCCGTCAGCGGCTTCCTGGAAAAGCTTCCCAGATCCATGGCCCAACAGCTCGTGGTTTGCAACCTGAAGCTCAAAGGCGCGCGAATCCCATTCATTGTACAGGTCGAGATCGTCAGGATGGATAAAAGTAATTTCTTCGTCTGTGTAAAGCAAGAATAAGCAGCGCAACAAGTTGTGGCTGATGGTAAAATTTACCCGGCGCCTTGGCTGAAAGGATGTTCTAAGAAAAAGGTAAGTATAGGACACACTACCCCCGCAAATATACTGACAGCGAGGGAGACATTCTTGAAGCCAGTCGATTCTCGGATATCGTAATAGTTCTTAGCAATATTGCATGTCGGTCAGATGATTTCACCTCCAGCCGAGAATACTTACGGGAATCTTGGTAGGGTCGCCGTCAATCAGTTACTCTAGAATATGCACCATATACTCACATTAATACCAGCGGGAATACCTGTGCCATCTCAATGAGCCAAATTATTTCGCAGTCGAGATGCACTTGCCTCCTGTAGCAAAGTTCACAATCTCCAATGCAGTGAAATCCGGTTTTCTAAATACGTCAACCTCAAAGTCCTTACCCCAGGGCAGGACCTTAATTAACTCCGGTGCATCATTGACGAGTATGTCATACTTGGCGCTGAGTTCTTTGTTCACGATGGCAGTAAAACCTATCAGAGGCAGTCAGCATTGCGAATATCACTTGAATACAAATGGCTTACCTTCCCACTCGGCACGACCACCGTATGGGTCAACGTAAGTTTCAATAAAGCCTAGGTAGCTTTCGACGACGGGGCCGACGTCCTTTACCCAATGTTCAGAGGCAGCTTTGTGCTCCTCGATCGAACCAGTCTTAAAGCTAATTGAATTGTAAACCAAAGGTAATACAAGATCGCAAAACTTGAGACGTACGAATTAATGTAGCCCTCAATCATCTTTGTCTGGGTGTCACTAGCCGTGTACTTCTTGGCCTGAAAAAGAAGGTAAGAAATAAAAACATGTGAATGAACATAAAGTTGACTCGACCTCATGCAAAGCCGCCACAGCCTTTGCTAATGCTGCTGAGAAGTCGCCATACTCGACCGTCAATCTGATAGATGTTGATTCTGCGTTTATCTCATGAACGATCGATTCAGTCTTATTGACAGAGGCCACAAGAAGGGTAAAGTCATGGGGCCCATTCTTGCGGACACTACAAGGAAATCAGATGCGTTCCGTATACATAGCAGATTTGAGTGTCGTACTTACCGGGTGTTCAGCACGTCGACTCCGATTTTCTCAGCGGCAGCTTGAACGGCTGCGACCTCTTCGTCCATGATTGTTTGACCAAGGTAATAGTTGGAAATATGTCCATCCCTTGGTTTGCCGATGGAGAGAGAATTTTCAGGCGAGAGCGCATAGATATGGTCTTTCAACTAATTAAATTGTCCCATTAGCTTTGGATATCAACGTGCATTTAGCCACTCGCCTCGTTCCATAAAGGAACAGCGTTGGCTGCATTGGCTGACTTCTCGACCACAGCAGCAAATTTTGCTTCGGAAACGCGAGGTACGATCTTCGTGAAACCGAAACTCTTGTAGTTTAGCAAGTTGTGCAAAACCTTGAATCAAAGGAGTCAGCTGCACGAGGTACACAACGATTTGAACGTGGAGTACTTGCCTGGGATGAATATTGCAGTACTTGTTCAAAATCTTCATGAGAGATGCCAGATTTTTGACTGAGTGCGTCCAAATCAGCCAACTTCCCATTGGAGCTGAAGGTGAGTATGAGGAGATCGTAGAGCCTTAGCGCTTGGGGAGTCCACTGTTCTTGAATGATCCGAGCGCCTGCCCATGAAGCTTGTCCGACGTAATGAGTGTAGAGCTTCTCCTTTGGTCTACATAATAATCAACAGCCGACCTCTGGAAACAGAAGTATACATACGTGAGTTGTGAGAATGACTTCGCAACCTCGACACGGCAGATCGGAGGAGCCTTGTCGGCCAAGAAGCGGTCTGCAGCTGCGGAAACCATAGTTCGATGAAGTTGGGTACGAAGTAGTAGTGAACTGTGGAAGGAGATTGATGGCCGATAAGATCTCGAGTTCAAGACTCGATTCAGCTTGGTCCGAAGCATTCACTTGACAGGCTCAGCTTGCAGAACTGGATGAAAATCAAAAGCGCGTGACCAAATGAGACGCGTCGCGTGGCTACATGACGTCAGCAAGGTCCGTACCGAGTAGTACAGCCTCGACTTTGATCATCACGACGAGTCAACGATGCGCTGCTCTCGGAATCCGATACCGTTGCGGCACGATTCGTATCTGTTCGGCCACCAGACAGCATAAAAGCTAACTGCTGGAATAGCTGTTTGCAGCACAATTCCCTATCCATTCTACACAGTATGGCCGACATAACTAGTATGCCAAACAGTACGACTGTCTTGATCGTTGGCGCAGGACCCTCTGGTCTTGTTGCAGCACTGTCCCTCCTCCATCATGGCTTTAAGGATTTTGTCGTTGTGGATGCTGTTGAGCAAGGCGAGAATAGCTCGCGCGCTCTGGTCGTCCATGCCGCGACCTTAGAGGTACGACATGTATTACAACTGTCGGTCATAATACACACTTGTTTTGTTTAGGCGCTAGATACCATAGATTGCGGGGCAGAAATTGCAGAGAAGGGAACCAAAGCAAGGAACGTCAATCTTGGGAACCGCTCTTCAAATATCATTTCCACCAACCTCTCGTCTCTCGACAAATACACCCGTCACCCGTATGCCCTCATCATCCCACAGAATCTTACCGAGTACATTCTCGGTGAGAAATTCAAAAGCTATGGCGCGACAGTTCACCGGCCATGCAAAGTTGCCTCCTTGAAGATGAACGAAGATGATGAGAATCTCACTGATGTCACATTCGAAGATGGAAAGACCATCACTGCAAAGTATGTCATCGGCGCAGATGGCGCTCGTTCTGTTGTAAGTCTCATCTCCTGTCATTTTTACTAGTTCTGACTGCTTCTTTTTGGCTGACAGGTTCGTCGGATGGCGGGTATCGGTTTCACAGACCCTAAGACTGGTGAGAAGGGTGATAGGATAACCAACCTGGATCAAATGGTCCTTGCGGATGTTGTCTATGAAGGCAAACACAACAATGGCATGGAGTTTTCAGGCACGATGTCGCCCGAGAGCTTCTTCCTTTGCGTACCTTTACCCAACTCGTTCAATGACTTCCTCGCCAAGAACGGGCAGGAAGTCCAGGATCAAATATACCGTATTGGCGCAGGAGTCCCTCTGGTGGATGGAGAGATACCGCATTCACCGAGCAAGGAGTATCTACAGAACCTCGTTGATCGATTCGGGCCCACATTCCTCTCATCAAACGCTTCAGTCAATCCCAATCCCACACCAGTACGCATCAAGGAAGTTATATGGTCAACTCGGTTCCGCACGCATTCCGCCATCGCTGACAAGACCTTCACTCGGCTTGGTGGAGACGAGCTCCAGGGTGCACCAGTAGGAGCTGATAAGATCACCACGAAACACGGTGGCATCATCCTTCTTGTTGGAGATGCGGCGCACATCCACTCTCCCGCCGGCGGCCAGGGGATGAACCTCGGCATCCGTGACGCAGTGTTCCTTGGAGAGGCTCTCGTAAAGCATATAAACGCGTCTGCTTCGCAGCCCTCCAGCGTCGACGCTGATTATATCTTGCGTGAATTTGGAGAGGAGAGGCATAAACGCGCTCTGGAAGTGATTGCATTAACTAAGAACATGCTTTCATTTATGGGGATGCCAGATAAGAAGATATCATGGCTGTTCCCAATCTCGGCTACCACTGTGCGGGACTGGGTGATGTGGCTTGGCTTCAAGTTTAGCTTCATGCAGGCAAAGATGGCGTGGGCGATGAGTGGACTGGGGAGAAGATAGTGAGCATTTTTTGTGGATATAATTCAATCGTGCTCGAACTTTTTACCCTCGCCCCTCCATTTTTTGATACGATTGAGGTCATTACTCGATTTTTTTACCTTCTCTTCTCCATTATTTGATATTGCGCGCTCGTACGCCTAGTTCACATTACCTTCACGTACTCTTAATACTTATTCTTTTTACAAGTTAATGCGTAGTTGGATAAGTTCTGCGGTTGGATAAGTAGTCGTTTATCAGTGACGAATGCATGCTGACAGAGCGAAGCGCAGAATCAGTCTCCCCTAAGTAGACCAACACAATTCAAGGTACAAGTAACTTGCATATGTACCACATAAAACTTCGACTTCAGACTACTAACAGGTCTAAGTTACTTGGAGTGTTTCGTGGACGTGCTACACACCACTACCAGTCGTGATCGATACACGCACGCCCTCCTGAAAGGTAATTGAAATCATGACGGGTCCTGCATCGGAGTCGGCTACGAGATTAGCGTAATATTTTCGAACGCTATGGATGAGGTGTGGTCCCACAAACATCTGTACGAGCGCGAAAATTTGACAAACACCCAGGTACAGCCGGGTTGCCATGGAATAAGAGTGCCATAGAAACGGTGAACCGTAGTCGCACGCAGAGATAGTTCAGCACACCGAGATCGTTGAAGACAAACAACCGAGGTTGAAACAAGAAACGGCAAGAAAGCTACCATGCGCGGAATTTTAGCAACACAAGATAACTACATTGAAAGTGCAAGTTCACCTTGTGAAGCAAACTACGTGAGTTTGTATTAACACCATGAAAGAATCCCTGGTGGTCCTCCCTGGCGATTGTCCGAGTCGCTGCAATCCACGGAAGTACTTTATAGCAATCCGCGCTGTCCAATAAATCGTCGGCCACCAGCTGGGATTATTTGAAACTAGGGTCATATTCGAGGGATGGGAGTGAGGGGGTAGCGAACTTGATGGTGGTATAACAGGGGCGTTTCTGCTAGATATACCACCACCATCTTGAGCCATAATGTGGATGAATATTCGTTCCTATCTTGATTCACAGCCATGACCACTGTCATATGAAACGAAGTAGAAACTGGAAGTCCTCGGTTGGATCAAGTGTATGTATGGGAGACTTGATTATGGATCTGCGAGGCGGTGTTACACACGCGGAATACTTGAACAACACGAAGGTTTGAAAAGCCGCGCGCGATGTCAAGTATGTTCTTGCCTGACTTGAAGGAGTTCCGATAGTTAAATCATCGATCTAACACAGGCCTATGCGTGATGTGTTCACCGAAGAAACCTGCTGGCGTCTCAATAATTATCGGCACTCTCAGCTCGAGTCGCCGGCCTAGGTCTGGGGAGGATAACAGCTCATCCGCTGACAAGGGTCTCCAAGTCCAAACAAGGCTCGATGTTAACCTTAGCATGACACCGGAACGCAGAAATAAAAACAGAATAGGTGCAAACGCAGCAAACGTTGAACAGAAGACTCGGATTTCCCACGCTGGCTACCGATACCTTGGATGCCCCGCAACATTAATAATGGTTGTCTCATACCCTTTGCCTCCAAGTCGAACATCGGGGTATAATGTCATAGGGATTGAAAATAATATCGTAAGGATCTGAGTGCGAATCTGATGGATGCTGATGCAATCCATCATGAGCTCGAGGTTAATAGCCATTTCGCACATCCAAATACATCCAGAATAAATTCAATAATAACATTAGGAAGTTTCATCAGCTCTACTTCGTTATTATGACAATTGTACATTTAGAACGGTTCTGCTATTTCAGAGACTCAACTGGAGTCCGCTGCGAAGCAGGTTCTGCAACAAAGTGTCAAACCCATCATGTATAAGTGCCTTTGAACCATTAACACATAACTTTCATATGTCGGTGCGTCGCTGACCGCGAGCCTGATTGCTGATGCATCGATGCCTGAGGCTAGCATGGCCAGCTGTGGCATGCCCACTGTTACCAAGGAAGGGAAATGTCAATGAGCTTCCAAGAGGTGCGAACCTTATACAGTGGCCACAAGTAACTTGTCAGTTTTTCCTCTGGCTACCATTGATAATCGAAATCGGTCGTCCACATTACTTATCGGAGAAGTAGAATATGGTATCATCTCCACTACCTCGTTGCGGAGTCCGAAACTCCTCAGGAAATCCATTGATCCACACAACTTTAGCATGACTTGTGGACAATAATGTCCACAGCTGAAGCCGTTAAAGGTCGCACTCCCATACGAGCATGATGTTCCAAGACCATAACACAACACTCAAGACACTTTGTTCACGCCCAAACACCTTCAAGAAATATGTTCCCTAATTCGCCATACCGTCATATCCCCTTCTTCGCGCAAACACCTGCTGGATTCAGGATGTTGAACCCCTCCTTGAAGAACCCTTACTTTCGTCCCTCAGCCAACACCGCCCGTGTAGGTCGTCCACCCACGAAGGCTACTGTTCCAAAGGTCTTCAAGAAGAGCGCGCCCAAGGCTTTCCCCAGTCAAATCATCCACCCGCGCCGCAAACACTGTCATAAGCGCTTCACTTACCATCTCACAGTCACTCGTCCAGGACTCCGTCGCAAAGGCCCCCGGTTCTGCAACCCAGCAAAGCTCAGGCGCGAAAAAGCAGCGTCGGCTCTCAACGACCTCGAAAATGTCGCTCTTAAGACTATGCAAGCCGGTGGTATGACCGCCGAAGATCGTATCTTCCTCAAGCAGCTCGAGGACCTCCGCCTCGATCAGCTACGCAGTCACACGCTTGGAGATGCCAGAGAGGTAGTCGCACGCGCTGAAGCGTTGGGTCCGCTGCGTGAGTTGGAGCACGTGGAGCGCGACCGCCAAGCTGCCCTCCGATTGGAGGAGAAACCACGGAGGCAGAAGGAAGAGGAGGAATCCCGCCGTTTGGAGGAGGAACGTCAGCGGCAAGAGGAGGAGAAGCGTAGACAAGAGGAAGCCAGGCGCAGACAAGAAGAAGCTAGGCGTCGTGCAGAGGAACTGGCGCGTCTTCGTGAGCAGCGCGAGCGCGAGCTCCAGGCCAAACGAGAGGCTTTCCGTAAAGCCCAGGAGGAAGCTGAACGTCGCGCCCGTGAGCAAGCAGAGCAGCGCCTTCGCGAAGAAGCTCGACGGCAAGAGAGGCAGCGCCAAGAAGAACTTAGTCGCAACAAAGCTCAAGCGGATCTCGTCGCTTTTTTCCAGCTCTACGACGCAAAGTGGCAAGAGCTCAAGCTGAGCCAGAAGTTGACTTCAGTCATGCTCTTCGAGATGCCGTGGCCCACCTTTCAGCAAGGCTGCGCATCCCCCGATGATATCTCCCGCCGCAGCGTGGAGGAATTCATCTTCCACCCCCCTCCGCCCAGGGATGGAGACCAAGTCGCGCAAGGACCGACTGAAGGTAGAGATACTTAGATTCCACCCCGACAAGTTTAACTCGAACATCGTGCGCAAGTTGCGGGAGTGCGATAGGGAAAAGGCGAGCGAAATCGCGGGAGCATTGGCTAGAATACTGACGAACATGATGACTGAGGAGGTTCAGAAAGAGAAGGATCAATAGGTCAATATATGCAGAAATTCTGTTGTAGTCATTAGCAATTCTAGGGTAATTAGGATATGTCCAATATGCAACCGTATGACTCTATCAAACCGTGTTTAACTTTGCAAGCAAGTCCTGGCTCCTTACGGCAATATCAATAACAGCGATTCTACGTGTTCACACTAATAGTACCATACACTAACAAGTAAAAATATTTGAGCAACACACATTTCCTTTCCAATGGCACTCACCTTTCCGCATCCTTCTTGGTCACATACGCAAGTAAATCACATACGCGTTTCAAGTGTGCCCACTGCCCACTCATTGGCATAGTATGCGACCAACTTGAAGGAACGATCAAGGACCGTGAACTGAAACCCAGGATAGAAAATGGCCGACTTGGTACGCTCAAGCAAGTTTGTAGACGCCAGAACGTTATCAGGGATAGACAAGATACCCTTGAGCGGACCTTCTTCGGCTTCCTTCATGGCAGTTGTGATGGCCTTGTAAGTTGTGGACCTTGTGGTGTTTTTGAGCTTCAACCATTGGGATGATGTTGTTGGCGACGGTTTTGATGTCAGTGATGTCCACCGCACGAATACTGGACAATGGACATGAAGGTGTCTTCGATGCCAAATTTGTCGTGAACGACCTCGGCGATGGGGGCAAGGCAATTGGTAGTGCTCGAGGCGCTAGAAATGACGGTATACTTACTCTGGTTTGAACTTTGTACGCATTGAGGTTGACGCCACAGACAAACATGGGCGCATCAGATAACGCAGTAATGATGACTTTTTGGCATCACCCATTAAATGGGCGGCTGCCCTAGTAAGTCATCGGCATCACAATCAACTCAAATTTTCGACAAAGTTTACTTGATTCTCATGGTGAAAAACCCCTGTTCACCTTTGCTCAAGAGACTTCGTATGCATGCAATTTCAAAAATGAGTGGCCTTACTTAATAATTGACTCAAATAAATCTCCGCTTATATAAGCGTTGTATACGCATTCACCACCAACTTGAAGTCTCCTTGCTTTGCTTCTCATCTCTGTTTCCAAACAATGGTGACTCCACCTGCCCGTAAGGCCGTACTAGATCTCTACGCCTCCACCTTGCGGACGGCGAAATCATTCAGTTCATATAATTTTCGCACCTACTTCGTTCAGAGGACGGAGGACACGTTCCGTGGGATGCAAGTATGTTTTGACTCAATAATTCTATCAATAATAGTATCCTGATGTGATTGACTTAGGCAGAACAAGATTCCATCAAGCTTTCGCAAGCATACAACGAGGCTGTGAAGGAGCTTTCGGTATTAAGACGGTGTGCAGTTACGAATCAGCTGTATGGCGGTGGGAAGCTGGCAGTTGAAGAACAGAGTGACGTGCGTACCTGAGGAGATACGTGAGCTAGGATACTACCGGACACTGGGCGTGGATGATGAAAGCATAATAGAGAAGATGTTCGCCGCAGTGCGCACTGCACATAATGCACAACAGCAGGAAGACAACATGTTCTTGACTATTGACTGCCATATGGTCAACTCTCAACAACATGCTGTTTTCTTGCTTTAATGAGAGGTTGTTCTGATTTGCTGACGACTGTATTATTACGCATTTGTAGAAGAAAGTGATATGTAGCTCAGATTGTTGTATTATAAAGGTTTCTGGTTGCTTCGTGAAGTACTTCAGGAAGCCGAGGATCCGCCCCACGGCCACTTAAACCACCACCAGCTTGCGCCAGACCGTGACGAAGCACTCTGAGGCATCTGGCCTTGAATGGAAGGCTGCGCTTTCGAGGCCGAGTCACCCTTGGCAACATTCGTATTCGAGTCCCTCCCTGACAAAACACCTTCAGTCTCTTTCCACTGTCTCTCCGCAGCTTTCAGTCGGTCCTCAAATTCCTTTCGATCCCTGCCAGCACGAGCTTCCCTATGCGCTTGTATCTCGTCGAGTTGTCTCGTCTGTTTTGTTTCTTCACCGGCAGTCGAACCCAGTGCGTAGGTTCCTGCACAAACAGCGGCGATAGTTGCACCTTGAGCAATGACACGAACACGTAACCAATTATTCAGAGATTGGGAGTCACCCCGTCTCATTTTGACGGTAGCCATGATCAGTGCACCACATGTTACAAGGGTACCTAGTACAGCGCGAGTCGTCAGATTCGGAGGACAAAGTGATTGGGAAATATCGTAGCATGCGCACCAATAGGGACTAACGGTTGCTCCCTGAATTTTCTCCAAGCTTTCTCCTGATAAGACTCTCCTGTATGAAGGCTCGGGGTAATCGGAACAGCAGCGGGAGAGGACATCCTGGACACAAATGGAAAAAAATAGATATTATAACTGAAACAGTAAGCCCGGGAGGGTGCAACGCAGACGATACAACCTCACGAAATCAACGTTGCAAGTCGTAGGTGGTTATGCAGCTGGCTGCAATCCCGAATCCCCGGAACACTCCTGACCAATTAGAGCGTAGCTATTTTGACGCGGTCTCGTGACGCGCCTTGAACGCGCCTTCAAAGTTCAATGAATCAATGAATCAATCACGGTGGTCCAACTAATATCGGTGACTCGAATCAGCGTCTTTAGTCTGACTCTTACGTGTTTCTCGACATGGTCAGGTAAGTAAATACATTGATTTCGAAGTGTTCTAACAGGTTTTCGTCGCCCCCCCTAGTAGTGCCTGCTTTACCGTGACTGATGATCACAAACAACAATCCTCGTTTGGAGATTTGAACTTGCAATTCATCTTGCAAGTTCTATTATTTGAGAGCGTACTGAAATTTTTGATGAGTGATTCCAGACTTCCTGCTTTGTTGCAGATTAATCGTCCATGTCTTCTCTCTGCTCGCAGCTCGTCCTAGCGCTTCTCACAGTTTTTTTAGCCCTCTCGGACTTTGCCTCACCCTCTGACACCTTCGCGATCCCTACTACTACAATCTCCCTGCATTTTATTTCAGCGAGACGAAGTTGGTCAAACTACCAGCTTCTTCGGCGCCGCGCCAAGTCGTGGTGCGTGGCTTCCAACGGAGAGTAAATACGGGTCAGTCATCGGTATTGGTATGTACATACCCTCGCTCATTTCATCACTAACGCCCTTATTTGCAGACCTTCGAACAACTTGTTCGTCGTTCGTGTGTCAGCATTCAACGTGGCGGTCGTGTCAAAATTATGACCAACAACTAGGGTCATCGTATAACACCTTTACCAATGTCCCTTTGTGAAAATAATTACTAATCTATTCCATCCAGTGTTGGTGGCAGCGCCAAGGACATGTGTGTCAACCCACTATTTTGATATCGCGAAGCACACTGATTTGTGAGCCATCAAGATCACACTTCTGAACAGCCTCTGAATGCACTCACTGTCCATTTTCTTCGGACTTCGGAGAGCGCCATGATTCTTACAAAGGAATTCGTCTTAGCACTGCAGGTCCATGCCAGTGTAGGCACAGTAAATATCTACTTTTACATCCTGTTCTTTTTTTAAATCTACCGCAGAAAAATTGAAATAATCATAACAAGAGACCAGATACAGGGCCCTCGGGATTTTTTTACAACGGTACATGCGAATTTTGGCATCACAATACTATTCCGCGTATCGCGATATTGTTGCGCAAGGTTTTGAACTTCAGACTGATCAACATAAAGAAACTCAAAATGTTTGTGGTGCTATTCTCCCCCTCTCGGATTAATTTCATTGATTTATTTAACTGAGTGGAATGTATATCTATAGCTCGGCCGCCTGAATCGGCCGTTCTTCAGCGATAACTCTGATGCTACATCTTCAGATGAGTTATCCGCCTTCGCTTCCCGACTTGAAGAGGGAACAACCCGTAAAATGTCACCGTGAAACCAAAATAGTGCTCGTGGGTGTAAATAAGGGACCCGTAGACTTGCTGTAAAGGTTCGCGTTTTCCTCGGGTGTAGGTTTGCATGAAAATAGTATAAGAATGTGTGAGCCTCCGAGTTTCAAGTAGCGGACCTGGCTTGGCATATACACGCACCCGCATTTGTTAATGAAAGTGACGTGTGTTGCGTCCGACTTCCTCTGGGTACCTCCAAATAGGACCACTTAGATGTTCCATCGGCATCTATGCTAGCGCACTACTTTTAGGACCATGGAATTGACGTTGTCAGGGGGTCTTCGAGCGCTACCAGTGGACATGCAATCTCATGCAATTGGAGCGCTCCGGGACTATACGAGGTTAAGATTAATTAATAAAATAGTAACCCACGAGTACTACGGACACAATGATTCACCGTAGTAGGTGCATGGGTTGCATCTGGAGAGGAAAGGTGCGTCGATTGCGCATTATGGGGGTTCCATTCCTGCCTGCCGCGGACGACCATGGCACTGTAAAGGTCTGAATCTGGTTCGATTGTTGGCATGGAAGGAAACCAATCAGCAATCCGACTAACATAAGAACAAAAATATACCTGTTGTTTCCCCTGGACGAACACAGCACGTTGCAGGGCTCACGCGGTGCTGGCTCACATGGGTGAGGTTTTACGCGGCACCGACTCGGACACTTGTGTGTGACATGTGAATGTGCCACCTGACTGACACCTTGACTGACGAGGCAGAATACCCACCACTTACTTATAATATATCGCAGCGGAACCGGGAAGCGCCAGTCCCTGACTCCAAGAAATACCAATAGTAGCAAACAGCGTATCAATATACATCAAAATCATTCACCTCTGCCAGCGCATTCTGTTTTTGTTCTAGACGGGCTGAATTGAACTTGCCAGAGTGCAAGATAATTTCCTGCGACAGACATTCAGTAAAAAGCACACCAAACTCACGAGCGATTATTCGCGAGTGCACTGCATGTTTTCCGATGAGAGCCTATTGTAGAGTGTGTGATAGCGTGGCGTAAATCGACGGATACCGTCGTCTGGACGTTGGTGCGGTTCAGCTTCTCTAAACGGTGAACAAGATCACCAACAGATACCGAGATCCACGGTGAGGACATTGACTAACGAGGCAGAACACCACTTACTTATACTGTATATCAAATGACGGTTGGTGTCGGGCCGTATGGAAATTGTCTGACGTTGCAGGTGGCCTCGTTAATATCGGGTCCAAGAGCCATCTGATGGAAAACTCATTTGTCATTCTTATTCCTCAAGACAATGTCTCTACCTGAGAACACGATGGTGCTTATTGTCGGTGCAGGGCCCGCTGGTCTAGCAGCTGCTCTTTCTCTCACCTACCACGAGTGTCGTGACTTCGTTATTGTCGATGCCACAGTCGAAGGACAAAATGCGTCACGGGCTTATTCCATAAACTCTGCAACCGTCGAGGTACGTTGACACGTGAGCGTTCATAAGAAGGCCCGTCGATGACCTGTTCGTAGGCATTAGCCAGCATCGATGCAGCAGACGGCTTACTGTCTCAAGCCATCAAGGCGAAAAGTATCAGAATTGCATCCCGGGGTTCAGAGATCTTTGAGGCCAAATTCGACTCTCTGAAAAAATATTCCGCCCACCCTTACCCACTCGTTACCCCTCAAAATGTGACGGAACTTGTGCTTGGGCAGAAGCTGCAAAGCCTTGGGGTTCAAGTGCAGCGTCCGCACAGGGTGGTTGGAATTAAACAGAACGAGAAGGATGCTCGCATTACCGACGTCTCCTTTGAGGACGGTCAAGTCATCAGAGCTAGATATATCATCGGTGCAGATGGCGCCCGCTCATTGGTGAGACTTCAATTCCTGCCAATTTAGCTTTATGGAATGTCCGATAACAATCTCCAGATCCGTACCATTGCTGGAATTGGGTTCTCTGATCCAGAAGGCCCGAATCTAGTCGGTCATGTACTCTCTCAAATGGTCGCTGCAGATGTTACATTCGAGCCCGAACCTATCGGTCCACTAACCCTCGAGGGCCACCTTAATGGCACGGTTTCCTCAGACAGCTTCTTCATGCTTATACCATTCGGCAACCGCTTCAATGCGGAGCTGACACGAAATGGAAAGTCCACCACAAAATCTGTCTTCCGTGTAAGTTGCGCCATACCGGTGAAGAACGGAGAGCCACCCCATGCGCCACCAAAGGAGTACATTCAGGACATGATCAACACATACGGTCCAGCGTGTATAACATCGGATTCCTCTCTTAACCGGACACCTGTTAAGATCGACCAACTGGTCTGGTCTACACGTTTCAGAACCCATTCAGCGATCGCCGACCGCACCTTTACGCGTCTTGGCGCTGCTATTTTCCTAGTCGGTGACGCAGCCCATGTACATTCACCTGCAGGTGGCCAGGGCATGAACCTGGCTATCAGGGATGCGATCTTCCTTGCAGAGGCTGTCACAAAGCACATTCGGGCCTCTGCAGAAGACCCCGGTGTGGATGATACCATTTTGCAGGAAATTGCGGAAGCGCGTCATGCGCGAGCGCTGGAAACCATCGGCTTCACCAAGAAACTTCTGAAACTCGCAAGCCTCGGGTATGATCCATATGCTTGGTGGATGCCATTCGGTTGGGCCTCTATCCGCGACCTGACGCTAAGTATATTGGGCAGATTTGATTTCGTACAGTTGAAGGTTGCATGGGGCATGAGTGGGCTTGGGCGACGCTGATCGCGTATTTAGATGGCTTTTGGCATCTGCTCTCAGGCTGTAGACAAATACTTACAAGGCCATTCCTATGTCTTTTCCAAAATAAGAAAACCCAGAGGCGCCTCGATTAATGATTACATAATTTGGCCGGAAGCCACGGACCACGTTGATCTGTTGTTGATTTTACGTAAAGTTTTGATTCCCCTGACAGTGATAGCAGGCTGATACGCGCCCCACAGAAATTGTTACAGTTAAGTCCCCCATTACACAGCACCGTACAATGCACACAAATTCTTAATGGTCAACACACTATCTAATTATGTTTTTAATCATATTACATAGGAGGGGAGAGTACCATCTTGATACATTGTTGTAGCCGTGATAATTGAAGCTGACGACATTACAACGTTGAGGTGGGCGCGCGGCGGGAACGTCGAGAATAACGCGTAATAAAACTCCGATTGAGCCGAGCCGCTTGCACACACCCCATTGCCCGCGGCGGCCGCTTCATTAACGATCTGGAAGATAAACAGAAGAAGCAGTAATCCGACAGCAAGATGTGTCACGGCGTCGGTAATGCAGGAGCAACCTTAAGCACATCGTGGGTGTCATCGGATATGTCCCGCGACAGGAAATTGATGTCGAGCATATGAACTCGCACAGCTGCAATTGCAGGTGTCGTGAGCATGTGATGATAAGTAGGTGTCAATGAATGATGAATCGATGATGCATGATGCGGCATAAGTATGTGCCTTGCCATGAGGGTGGTCAATAAACATTGCTACCGAGTATATAGTCGGTATTCGTTTGCATACACCGATATACTTAGATTTGCGTTTATTCTGGGCGGGCGTGTAATCTGGGGTATGCTGAACTGCCGCATCAGCTGGCCTCAGGGTCAGGGAAAACCTCCAATATTAGGGCAATCTTATTCGAAAATGAAGAGTCGGTGATGCGACGGCGCCCCATGCCGCTATAACGATTAGATACCGGCCTGCGTCAATTCAAGAAATCAGCGCATGAACCAAGATGAACTAGCCTGACCGCCCACTGCCTCCGCCACCCCAATTATAAAAACGTCACTTGATTATCATGAGCCATGCGCATCATACTTAACATATCTTAATTGAGAATAGTACGATGCAGATAAGATGCGTGAAATATCCAGCCATGGACGGCAAATGACGAATTCAATCTAGGGCATTGTTTTCTTCTCCGTTTGCTTCCGGGTCGTTTCGCGCACACGAACATAATTATTCCAAAGCACTTTCCACTCTGCTTCTGGTGTGCCTTCCCCAGGCTCACCAATGCCGCCAGAACGATCTGCTGCGATACCTGCCCACCCTAGAGCGCGTTCATAACACTCAAGGGCGCGTTCCGCACCATCTTTCTCGCCTTCTTTCAGTATACCCATGAGATTCCAGGCTTCGGCAGCAGTCCGGCGAGCATCGCGGAGGAGGCTTTTAGCTGGTTTTCGCATTGCATTCGATTTGGTATACACTGGGACTAGGGATGCTTCCGAGGCGGGCGGATGGGGAATTGCCGAGCCTGGTGCATCAGGATGGGTGAATGGGAGACCTGCAAGGGCGAGAGCAACTCGCTCAGATGATTCTGCAGCGCGCGTGAGCCATTGTATGGACTGTTCGGGTGCTGCGCGGAGGGCGTAGAGAACTTCTGCCAGGTGAATGGAAAGCAGAGACGATCGGTGAAGTAGAAATAGTGAATGCAATGCCTGTGGTGGAGATGCCGTTGAAATTCTGGAAGGAGACGGAATCGAGCGGAGGAGATCGAGTCCGGACTCCTGTACATGCTGCGCTTGCTTAAGGTGACCAGAGGTGGAATAGTAGGCGGAAAGTGATATCAACGTGGAGGCAAGCGTGCGTTGTGCACACGGAGATGAGGGGATGGTCTGTGTTAATTCAGGAGCCGAAAGATTTGTCTCCTGAGTGCCCTGGGTGAGGCTAATGCTCCGCGCCCACCATGCAAGCGCGTCGTCGAAGTCCCCGAGACGATAGTCAAGGTCCCCGAGTTTTAATGCAACTCGTGCAGCATCCGTACCCTTGGCGGGCAGTCCAGCCCACACTCGCTCATACCAGGGCCGGGCCTGTAAAAGTGCACCCCTCGTCCCCATACGCTCGAGAATAGAAGCGTGGCGGACGAGTAGCTCGCCTATAGTTTGTGGGCGTAATTTTCCGGACGACACGTTGCTTTCGGCAATGCTGATGGCAAGGGCCATAAATGTTTGGGCGACCTCCAGGCGAGCCTCTATGACGTCGAGACTACCTGTACCCTGGGAGCCTCGTCGCGAAAATGTGTTCGAGCGGCTGATGATCGCTCCTGAGCCCGTCCCCCAGTTCTCGGCGATCCAAGCGCTACGAATAGCATGCCTGCCTTTGAACCCGAGTGCCGTGTCTGTCCCACCCTTGTCCCCGCCTGACCACTTCTCAGCCTCGTGATCCCACTCCCACCTGCGTACTTCACCATCCTGATCGCATGCGAGTTCGACATTCTCTACCCACATATGTAAACCCTCGAATACTGTCCAGCCAGTGATCCCGAGTGCCAAAACACCCACAAGGGAAAATTTGGCCAGGCGCTTGAAAAAGTCCAGGGTAAACAATGTCGATTGGGTGAAGGGGTCCTCGATGAGCATGGGTTGATCCGCAGCTGCATCTTTTCGCCATGAGGTGGGTTGATTGCTCGAACTCTGTGATTTGAGCCGACGATGTCTGGGTACCAGGGGTGCATAGATACGCAGCGGACGAGTAGGCAATTTTGTTAGTGTTCTGAGCATTGGACTGTTTGTAGTTGAAGATTTGACAAACAGCAGAAGATTCGGAAAATTGTGAGAACTTCGTGTCAGATGACTATCTTAATGAGTTGACCGTTCGATGCCCAACGTTATTGGTACGGGAAGCTGAAACTTAAAGTTAAGACCACATGAGTTTCAGGATTTCAAGGAGTACCACTAGGATGATGTCGGTGTTCATGTGACGTCCCACGTGACTGGTCGCGCAGTCAGCACTAATTTCCTAAAGAGGGTGGGTCTGCCTTTCGGGCCAGTGGCACAGCCTCAACCACGCGCGGCACTCACGTGACCTCGCTGAAGCGCTCCGGTGCCAGCAACTTGGCAAGGCTGGCAAGGACAAACATGAAATTGAAAACCAAAGTTCCTGCAAGCAAAGTGGGAGGTAGTGAAGGGTAGCGAGCGGGCTATACCACGTCAGTCGGACCTAGTAACCGCTAATCATTAAGTATTGCTGTGCTTTGACTGTGCTCCCGTCATTTGCCTGCAGGAAACGTGTGTCGGTAGGACTACAGCATGCGTTTAAATTAATTTGTAGGTTTGCTTAGGGCGGTGGCAACAAATCTCCGTACACCACTCGGATCGAAACATCACAGACGGCAGCAGGTCTAGATCTGTCCAACGTGACTGCGTTTGCCAACGGGCTTGTGAACACTGGTATGGTGTGAACACGCCACCTAATAGGTCCTTGATCGGAGCTTTTATTCGTTCGTGTCAGCTTCCAGTATCCCCCCATGGCTCGGACTGGTTGTCCGCCTGCCAGTGTTCTATACTTTTCAGCGCGCGTCAATAAATTCCCGGTTTACTGCAGGTGGTTCTTCCCAACATCAATGCATCACGCGCACGCGCTATTTCATCCGTAATTGAACACCGGTAATATTGACGCCTGGCTCGATTCGAAACAGACACGAGTCAGATACATTGATGTTCTTACTCGGAGCGGTGCGTCAGGCGCCTTCCCGTCAGGCACGTACATAACCCTCACCTAGGTCAACCCTACTTATAGTTCGATGCATAAATCATTTCCGTTTCTTGCCTCTCTCACTTGCTATCGAGTTGCCTCTGGTGTGTATAGGCACTACCATGTACTTCCTCCCTTGGGTGTCGTTGTTTTTCAGCATCCTTTGGGCCTCCGCGGTAGCTGCCATTCCGTCACCCACTTATAAGAGGGCTTCCAGTCCCTTTGTGAGCACCAGTGGCCCTGACTTTATGGTGAACGGGAGGTATGGATTAATCTCTGTTGGATGCGAACCCGTAGTAATCATCTTTAATCAGTTTATTGAAGTACATCGGTACTAACGCTTATTGGCTACCTACGCTAAACACGAACGAAGATATATGGAACACGCTTGGGAACGTATCAGCTCTCGGCATCAAGGTCATCAGGTTGTGGGCATTCAATGGTATCTATCACTGTTTTGCCCTTTAGATGCAAATGATCGTTGACGCCATAAATCACGGTCAGATGTGGACACCATTCCCGTGAATGGCACTTGGTTCCAGCTTATCAAGGATGGCACCGTTTCCGTCAACGATGGGCCGAACGGCCTCCAGAAGCTTGACACTGTCATTCAAATGGCCGAGCAGCGAGGCCTATACGTCATTCTATCTCTTACGAACAACTGGGACCCTTTCGCGAACGCGACTGCCGTCACGAACAGCTCCATTCCTCGCAATTATCTATCCAACAATTACGGTTGGTCTTAATCGAACTCTTAACCCCTGCATCGTTTTGATCATGATTTTAGGTGGCATGGATCTATATGTTCAACAATTCGGCCTCCAAACTCATGACCAGTTCTATACCAACCCGTCAATATTAACGTCTTTCATGAATTACACAACGCAAGTGGTCTCCCGCTACGTGAATAGTCCATCGGTCTTCAGTTATGAATTGGCGAATGACCCCAGGTACGTGATGGCTGATATTGCGGAGCTGCTCAGCTTAATACACTTTATCCAGATGCAACTCTACATTTCCAGCATCTCCTAACTGCACGACTGAAACGATCACGACCTGGCATGCGACGGTAGCTGCGCACATCCGCAGCATTGATCCAAACCACCTCATCTCTTCGGGGTATGTCACAATATCGATCATAGCCATGAACACTGTTTGACGACTGATCTAGTGTCGGAGGATATATGTGTACAGATTGTCCGAAATTATACCCTCTGACCCCATCGCCAGCACCTCCTGCCCCATCACCGGCTCTTGGAAAAAAGAAGCGCAGTCAAGGAAAACCCGTAACCAAGGAGCAAATCCTTCGAGAACGATCTGAGAGGAGACGCCGCAACAGGGAAACTGCGAAACGCGCGGGGACTCTGGTGGAAGACGGCGTGCGAATAAGAGGGCGGTGGGTTTCAACAGGTAAGTCAAACGTATCGCAGCAGTTTCTTGGCTGATTATGTTTGACAGCTACCAAGAGGCAACAGACTTCGACTACGGGGTCATTGTATGACGGTGCATACGGCGTCGACAGTCAAGACATCTCGAACATTCCAGATATTGGGTTCTCTTCCTTCCAGTTATTCCCCGATCAGCAATCATATGGTCCTGATGACTCGAACGTTGCGCCTTGGCAAAGTGTAGAGCAAAACGGTGCCCAGTGGATCACCAATCAGGCCCAAAGTGCTTCTGCGTGAGCATCTTGTCATTGTCCAATGCATCTGAATGTCTGATATCTATCTCAGCGTCGGGAAACCTGCGGTACTCACTGGCTTTGGTCTAGTCACGCAAACCAATGCTCCTTACTTCGTGCCATTTAACTCTACGGTTGCTCCATTTGCTACCGATGGTGATAAGCCTTCTGCGACAAGTCACACTTAGCTAATTTATTTCCCCAGAAAATTCCACGGGCTATGGTGTGACCAGCCAAGAGCAAGCAAGTACTTACACGTCATGGATTAATAGTGCGTTCTTCAATATCACCCTTGGTATCTTTTCTGGCCTTACAAATCTTTGATCAGCTGGTATTGCTGCGGGACTCAACGGCATAGTCCAGTACCAGTGGGGTCAGACCAACCTTACAGCTGAACCTGGTACTACCATTAGCCCCTCTACTACCACTGGACAATCGCCTACGCCGAGTAGCCCAGGAGAGGCACCCACTCCCCAAGAAACCACTGGCGAGTCCCCCAATGATGGTTACTCTATGTTCGTGGTCCGGCCATTTTATTCTGACATGTACTGACCTGTTCGCAGTACTGGCTCCACTACTGATCAACAAATCCTTGGGAGCGCGTCCCAGTCCATTGCCGCGGACTGAAAGACACTTGACCTCATATTTGAATGAATGCTATATAACTTGCTCTCGGAATCAGTGGACATGTATCACATTGTTGTACAATCTGGTGATGAGATCACGTTACCCTTCTTGGACATCTGTGCGGACTTCTGGTACAATTGTTTTTACAAATGTGTACCGCTCATCATTAAGTATTGCTGTGCTCCCTGTTAGACAGAACACGCTCAGTGTCGGGAGACAACAACTAGACATTATAAGTACCTAACACACAGAACACGCTGAAGAGAATATTGTGAGAGATGGTGGGACGACGAGAGACCAGAGACAACAACTGAGGTACTATCTCTGGCCCGGTGTTGCAAAATGGCTCGGAGTTGTACATCATGATGTACCACACTCATATTTCACTCATTTCCTTTGCACAATGACTCTAGAGGATGATTGATTCATAGCTTACTGTTTGTATTTTTTATTCCATGAAAAATGGACGAGAAGTGCTTGCGGCAGTGAAACACTGCTCAGAATGTGTGTTTTTCACGCCAATCCATCAGAGGGAAGTGAGCACATGCATTGAAAAAAATCAGGAATTTTACTAGTGATTTTCCATTGCCTTCTAATACCACTCTAATTTTTTCTGACATGATAACTGAGTGGTGTTAAGAGACAAAAATGTTGTACTATTGAGATGCAGGACTTGAGAGGAGGAGTGAGATTGTGTTCAGAGTAGTGTTGCCGCGGCTCCGGCTTGTGACCGGCTTTAGCCGTGGGCGGAGCTGGAGGACATCCGGGAAATGGAATTTTCCGAGTCCGTCCGAGTGCGGATCCGTCCGGTTCAAGACATCTCTCTTGCTTTCAACCAATCACTACTGCCACCACGCCTTTGGACGCCTGCCTGGTATGTGTTCTCTCAATCTCTATGCTACCTGTAAGTTTCTAAACATGGCCTGTATCTTACAAATACTAACTACTATATTCCACAGCGTATCATTTGTTTCTCAATGTTTATGTGGTCCTCAAGCTACTCGATAACATCGGTAAGTCTATTTCTATGTGCCTGCCAGATGAATATTGTTGATATCCTCCTATTACCAGGTTTCTTGACAACCATGAATGCCCCATCCACCTCGCAGGGTGCACCATCATGGGAAGCTGTTCTCAACGCTCGATTGGCTCAACCACAGCCTGATTTTATACACTCGTGCAATAACTGCAAAGAGGAGGTTCCTTGGCAATGGTGCAAGACAAATGAGAATGGAAACGAGGGCCGTTGGATAGTAGTGGTAAGTGCTATCTTTTCTCGGACTTGTTCACTGAACTGACTCCATCACCGAAGTGCAAGAAATTTGCTGGCGAGCAGCAAGTGCCATGCAATTTCTTTTGCTGGGCATGGGGTTCAACCAGTCCCTCTAGCTCCCCCACCCTGGGCTCAGCTCCACTGGCCCCAACTGCTGTCGTCCAGCCCTCAGCTCAACTAGCCCCAACTGCTGCCATCCAGCCTGCCGTTTTGGGCCATACCACATTGCTCGTTATATGCGCTGCCCTCATGTGCAGGAAGCGCCCCCATGCACAATGTGAGAATGCTGCATGCCGAATTGTGGCCTGTTGGGTGGCTGTTCTGTCAAAGGACATACTGCTGCTGTTGTGTTAGATCCATTGTTGGCGCTTCGAATGCCTCATCAGCCTCAAACATGTCTGCCTATGCTCCCACCCCCACTGCCTATGCCCCCACCCCCACTGCCTATGCCCCCACCCCCACCTTCCCAGCCGGCATTGATTCTTGATGCTGCACCTTCTGACTTGGACGTCCCCCCACCCTTGGACGTCCGTCTGTCCCCACCCTTGGCCTCTTTATTGGAAGTTCCTGAGCCTCCTGCATGAGTCCAGAAGGGCAAGGGTCGGGCTGTTGAGCTGCCAGATGCTAGTGAACCTGTGCAGCTTCCTTCATGCATGGTCGCTGGCTTGTTGCAACCAAAAGCCCGAGCAGCACCACGCTATGCAATGCAGATGCCTGCCATCTTTACACAGCAAAATGCTTGTGAAGAGGAAATGAATGAAGAAAGGCGTCAACGTGAACTTGAACGTCTACAGGCTGCCGCTCAGGGAGAAGAACACTGTTGTTGTGTACGCATGGACTCAGAATGGTGTTGAGCCCATAATTTATGAATTTCAAGACGGCTTCAAACTACCCAACTTCTACTTCACACTCTTGGTCCTCCATAAATTATGCATGACATCCAAGGACCCTGATGTTCCTGCTCCTGCAAGGATTGCTCCTATCCAGCGATACAACCGCGCCCTCAACACATGGACCCGGTTTGATGTGGGCCACATGGTCACTCTGCATGAGTGCGATGCTGGCATCCTCTTTGTGAGAGATGCATGTGTCAGGGAGTGTGTGGACTTTGACCAGCATCTTCACAGAATGACGCGCCCAGTAAGCGCCAACCTCATGACAGACCTGACAAGCGAATGGAAGTATGTGCATGCTGCATCTCTTGTATGGAACTCACATACACCATCTCTACCTCCTACCAATCCTGCACCACATGTTTGCAAACCTCGCTCTCATATGCCCTCACTGTCACCAGTCTCATCAGACAAGAAGCATGAAGTGCCTAATGACTTGCCAGCTCAACCAATCAAGCACCACCCATTAGAACCACCAATCAAGCAGCACTTTTCATCTATCTTGTCATTGACAGATAGTGATGAGGATGACATGATGAAACCTGTCCATGCAGCCAAGCGGCACCATTCTCCGCTTCCTCAGGCTCCCTGCTGTTTACCACACCGCAAATGACTTCCTTCTGCTGACTCATTCAATCTTTCCTATGCCTCTGACTCCCATTCGCTCTCATCATCTATTTCGTCAATGCACTCCACACCGATCGTGAAGAAGGAGGATTCGGGAAGTCTTCTTTCATGCAGATCATCAAGCCATGATGCCATCGTTGTCAAGAAAGTCGCAATCTGGCCTATTGACTTTATGTGGTTGACATCTCTTGGGGTTTCAATGCTTGTCAAAGGGCAGTTGATGGACAATGCAGTGTGGCAGATGCATTCATTGGCCACTTTGGTGTACTGTTCAAAGCATCGACATTTTATGACAACCGCAAGGTGTGGGACTTTGGGCCCAACGCATCACTTCACCAATGTTTCATTGGTTATGGCCGAACAGAGAAAGGAAGCTGGACTTCCTTCATGAAGAGGGCAAGACAACCGCGCAAGTAGGCATGATTTCATTTCCCTTTAGTTTTGTTCACATTGCCTATAGCCTACACTCATCCCCCTTTAGTTCCCATAGTTTTGTGTCTCATAATCAATCACTGTCATGTCTCTCTCCTCGCGTTGTTCCTCTAGATTAGATTTGCATACCTGCAAAGTACCTTCGTCATCATCATGATTGTCCAACTCAACAGAGTAAGCTGAGCGAGTGGCACCTTTGAGGAAGGAACTGATCCAGGGACATTTGATCCTGCCTTTCCGGCCAAAGCACTCCTTGCAGCCATCACTGAACACATTGGGTAACGCCTGCCCGATCTTGTATGTCAAGGGCAGCTCCTTCGCGAGCTCCACAATATCAAGGGCATGGCGGATGCCATGTTCATGAGAGGCTTTTGGGAGAATGCGGTTCTGCAGAACAAAGTTCAAAAAGAAACTGATGAGGTGTGGTGCGTTAACAAGGTTCCTCTCTGACCAACATACAGACAAAACTATGAGAAACCGTGAGGTTGATGCAAGAGCAAAGATGAAAATAACTACTTGGTCCCAGAGCTGGCTGACCCCAGACACGATGTGGTGTTCAAGCTCGGGCTAGCCTCGCAGAACCCCATTTCGCTATAGGAGTCAAGCAGCCTAGAAGTCCACATCGCATCCATACACCACTTCCTCGCAAAGTCTCGACTCACTTGACTCATCCATGTCACACTGGTCTATGCCTGACTCGGCCGATGCAGATCCATGGTCTCGGTCTCTCGCAGAAGAGCCAGGGTTGTCTATACCGTCCCTTGCTCATCGGACCGGCCATCGCGCACTTTGGCCAACCATTCCGTCCCATCGGTACCGAATCCTCCCATGTCCTGCCCATGTCCACCTATCTCCATTGGTGCGTTTTAAGCTTATTTTACCATTACTGAACGAACAGCAGGCGTTATTACATGTATTCCCATGGTTGCAGCACTCACGAGCCTTATTACATATTGACCTGAGCACCTCGCATTTTGCTATTACTCTTGCCTGTGCGATTCCAGACATTCACGCAGTTAGATAAATAGGACTCAAGTTTCGTATTATCCCTTACTTCCCTTCCTTGGACATACCTGGTACTGTTGTAGGAGTCACCTTAGTTAGTCTTTGATTGTGCAATTGATCCCCCTTGCTTTTATCATCGGACGTGCCTTGACCGCTCTAAGTGCACTCTATCTAAGGTTTCTTTACCTAGGCCTTGTGAGATCTGGACCACTACCGGTAGTCTTACATCAGCAACCCGTACCTAGTCATACCTCGTCATACCTAGTTATACCTAGACTCTCCTTACCTCAACTTAGACTTACCTGCCGCTCATCGGCATCGGACTCCTCACCTTGCATCGGTATCCCACATCGGTGTCCTTCATCGGTATCTCGTGTTAGTGTCCCTCATCGGTGTCTCGCATCGGGTGTACCATCGGTATCCCATATCATGTCGGACATTCTCGGACTCGGACCTTTGGTCGGTCAGATATCTCAGGTCTTAGATCTTAGTTTCTTCCTTTCTCTTCCCTCGCACTATTTGAAGGAAGTGCTTCAATAGCAGTCCCCTTGGGTCGACGTACTGCACTCGCACCCATTAGGATTTAGTAAGTTAGTTGGTATATCTAGCTGACTACTATTTCTTTCACCACAGCGATCAGTGGCCAATGCGATTGACTTGAAAGTCGTCTGCGGCATGAAAGAGGCGATCCACATGAGACATATTGACCATGCGAGATGAGCGACGAGAAGGTGTCTATTAGAATGGTAATGTACATGGTTATTGTATCCTACATGCTATTCAAACACTTGCTGACATGGCCATATGCGTGGGTTGTGTCCATCCTTGCCCAGCTTCTCCTGCATCCAATGATTCCTCCGTAAGATCAACTCATCACAAAAGAAGTTGAATTTGTGAGCTACCATTTCACGAGTGATGGGGTGATACTTGCCGAACCAATTGTTTGTTTGTTCTGCCACAGAGGAATTGAACCACCAACCCTTCCTGTCATCGCTATGGAGCTCAGGGAGTGCTTCTGGGTTGAAATTCTCCTGGCAGAATGTGTCGGTCTGTGAATGCTTGCATTTGAAATGAAAAATGTTGACGGACAAGCCAATGTTGTCAAAGAAAGGGTCGCCCATCACCATTTTTGCAAGGGTGCAGTTGTTGTCGAAGAATATGTGGTTTGGCTTGACAGCGTCTTCGCCTGCATAGACTTCTTTGATGAATTGCTGCAGATAACCATGAGAGTTGAAGAAATGGTCATAGAATGACGATACATACCTTGACGCTGGCTACTCCCTCCGCTCCAAAGAAGGTCCTTTGAGCAATAATCATACCACACAGAGCAACAATTAACTGCTCATTGTGTGTGTGCCAGCAGCCAAAGACTGCCTTGAACTTCTTCCTTCCAGGTTTATCCTGGGACAAAGCGGGTAGCAGGAAGTGCTCTCCTGGTGTTCTCATCGAACTCATACTCTTCTTCATCCAGTGGATCATCTGTGAGAGATGTGTTGGTAGCAATGGTGGTTCTGGCACGAGCAAGGCGCTCCTGAAGCTGGAATCTGGATTGTCCGCGCAGCTCATGAGTATCCTCAACTTGATGATGTTCCAGTATTGAGCAAGTGCATTGGCCACGTACAACAGACAGGTCACAGCCAATGATCACACACTTGTCATTTTGACCAGAGTGTAGAGGACAAAAGTGATGGTGGTTGTTAGACAGTGGGATGTGGCAGTTATAAACTGCACAGCATGGATGGCTGACAGTGACACCGTCGACAATGACAACAGACACTTTATGTGTGACTGTATATATCTTACCAGTTAGTCCCATGTAGCCTCGAAACTATGACACTCACCGACACCTTGCTCATCTTCATACATGCTTGTGCATCTATTGCAGTAGTGGTGATGGACCTGCTCATAGCCATAGAGCTGAATGTGGCAGTTCCTTGTGATCATGGCCTCTGTGAATCGGTCCCGCTGTTCACCAATGTGGGGAGCAATGAGGGTGCTCATGCGACGTTCACAGTCCTCCAGCAGTGAAGTGATTACATAGCCATCCCAAACATGCTCTACAGAGAGCTCAAACTTGACTTTATAGTCTGCAGGTGCCTGCTTACCACATGAGAGGCAAAGGTTATACAACTTTGCCAGTTCATAGCTGAAGTCCTGAATGCAACCAAGATTTATAGTCAGATGGGAGAGATCAAGAGTGTGGTATATAGCATACCATGAGAAATCCATTGCAGTCCTAAAGAGCTTGACTACACTCTTCTCAATGAACACATGATCCGCAGCCTGAACACTATCTGGTTGATGCTCGTAATAGGTGCGCTCTCCTTTAAACACACTGTAATTGTGGTGGTAATCAATTCCGCAAGCTAGTCAACCTTGTCAATGACCAAAGTAACGACTCAAAGCAAGAGTGCAGCTTACTTTGACAGTAGAGATGAACAGATTTTGCAATGCACGGGCCTTTCGTCAGCGTGAACAACACCACATAGGTTTGAGCAGCCTTCTTGAGAGTCATGCCCTTTGCGCGACATTGGCAGTTGGGATGAAGGAATGAGTGGCTAGGAGGATAGAGCAGATACTCAGCTGGGACCATCCCATCATTAGATAAAGAAACAGAGGTGACAACACAATCAAATGAACATACCTACACCCCTTTGAGTGCCATGTGTCTCCCATAGCTGTCCCACATTGACAGTGATCCCTCCACTCCAGATGACATCCTTGAGGAGGGACCATGCATCATTGACTTCAGCTGGAGAGATTGAACAGCCTGTGCTAAGAAACATGGTGACTGCAGGTGATAGAACAAATGGTGGGTCTGAAGTTGGACTCAAGGAAGGCTCCACAAGGATGATGTCATTTTTAAGCAGGGTTGCAAGAGTGACAAACTGGAAAAGAGAAGTGAGCGAGGTGTTACTGATTGTGCCTGGCTCTTGTTCAAGATGGCACAGTAAACAATTAAACACTGTCATGTTGTTCTAGTAGTGTTACCACCAAGGTGAATTGAATGATCGAATTGAATCACTTCCAAATCTGAATGACGCAGGGCCCGGACAGACCCAGGCGGACCCGGCCACACCCAGCCGGATGGTCCCGGAATCTGCCAATTCCCTGATATTCTGTGTTTCTAGGCCTTTAAGCCAGCTCAAACTTAGTTTAAAATTAGAATATATAGATAAGTTTGTGTGCTAAATTAGAATACATGTATTAATAAATTCATAGGTATGAACCCAAAAGAGTAACGATGTGCACTATGCGCTATCGATCAGATTCGATTCTACAACAACTACACTATGTCTGAAATCACCTATCACATATCCAAACACATGATTGTGATGGGCCCCCAACCCGATGTGAGTGACAGCTGATTTCTCCATTATTTCGAATGCTAAGTTGAATTAGCAATATTGCAGTCTTACACATGACTGCAGGATACAGGATGCCCGCAGAGAGGCGAAGATGGAGAGATTGAGGGCAGGGCAGCCAGCAAGGGCTTCATGGAACAGCAGATTAGTGGAAGCAGGAGCAGCAGTGAATGTTCATGGATGGCCAGTAGTGAGATGGTGGCATGGAGTTCTGAGGAGGTTGGGTTGGAGGGGGCAGGAGGAATGAGTTGCAGGTTGGCCTGGAAGTGAAAGTGAACACGTACATACTGAGAGCGGGAGGTACATCGAGATCGCAGCTCACTTGAGCCAGCAATATTTCCTAGCGATGAGAATGCGTTGATGAATGTAAGGGCTATGGCCCACTTTGATGCTGGACGGGGAATAGAGTTGCTAACCCATGCCCAGTACACAACAAACATCATATAAGACTGAGCCATCAGGAATCTGTAAAACAGTTTCAGTATGTCAATGAACAGAGCAAGAGGGAAACATCACAATGAGGTATCTAACTGCAGTGTTCATAGTCGCCATAGCCATCATGAACCCCGCAATCCTAATGAGTAAAGGTATCGCAATGTGACCAAAATGTTCACCTGTCGCATCAGAATGTCTCTACATGTGTCGGAAATTTCCCGCGTGCCTTCGAATTCAATTTAAGACATTTTAAGGGACCTTTTCACACGGCACACTTACAATGCATGTTAATGGTGTATGATAAAATTTCAAGGCACTTATAATGCCTGTCCAAATTATGTTAAGGCATTGTAATGATCCTGGGTAATGCGGGATGAGCCTTACATTTTAAGGCCATGAAATGATAGTGTAAGCATTGTAAAGGGTAGCAAGGCAAATTCAGACAATTTCAAGACTCGTCGCTTGTATTTCGATGCTCTCGCTGGAATTCCCAATTAATATTAATATTAATAATGGTAATAGTAATAATAATAACAAAAAAAAAAACAAGTGCGAGCGGAAAGAGTATTCAGCGGTAAGGAAGGTAATAGAACGATGTTGGTACTATCCAGTGCAAGATTATTAGTGAAGCTGAGTGCGAGTGGTAAGGAAGATAGAATTATGTTGCCAATGGTATCCAGCAGAGTGGTGAAGCTGAGTGCGAGCAGATGTGTGAGGTGAATGGGAGTAGGAAGACGGTCCTAAGGAAGGTAGAATTATGTTGGTATCCTGGACCAGTGCGAGAGTGGTGAAGCTGAGTGTGAGCGGATGTGTGAGGTGAATGGGAGTATTATTGGGAAGACGGTCCTAAGGAAGATAGAATTATGTTGGTATCCAGCATAATAAGAATAGTAGTAAAACTTACCATGATGTTGAAGGGTGGCATTAATTGATGCAGTGCGAGCGGATGCATGTTACAGTAGTCGACGAAGGAATTTTCGGAGCTGATGACGACGTCTGTTCAAAGGAGGAAATGGTTGAAATGAAAGAAGTCTTAATGGAAGTGTTGATAAGAAAAAAGCTCAACTTGTTTGGCCTTGTGATTATACTACCCTAATTGGGATGACTTAGAATGCGGCTGAATCAAGAGGTGCGCAATGTGCTGTTGGGTGGGGCATCCGAGAATTAATAGCTGTGAGACGCATCAGCGTGCAATATGGTAGTCAGGTAAATCAACTTGCATGGTGCAAAAACTCCGTTGTGTAGGTAAACAAATCAGAGGGTGACAAGATCAACAAATTTAAGTAACTACTTTCTCCCTGACGCCTTCCTCGCTGTCGTTTTGGCACCACCATTGCGTGTAACACCCTTGACTACTGGAGGAGGAGCCAAAGGAATGACAGGGACCACGTCTGAGTCCACGGGAGTCTGAGCAGCCTGAGCAATAGCTCGACGTTGAGCTGCAGACACCCTACCACCCTTGCCAGAAGATGCGGATGGTGGCAAGTCAGTTCTAGCGGCATCGAGCAACAGCTGACCAATGTCAACTTCGAGTTGGAGTTGCGTGGTGGTGGCAGGCCCTCCTGGATTGCTGATAGACATAGATGTCGGAGCATAAGTAATGTGTGAAGATGCCGATGACGGAAGTTGTGGTGCGGAGGCAGGATCTTCTAACTGCTGTAAGAAGTTGTCTTCCCAGGTGTGAGGTTGGGAAGCAGGGGGTAGAGTAGCAGTACCACTAGTAGCTAGGACTGAGCTCGTGCCGAAAACCTCCTGGTTGTAATAGTTGATCACACTCGTAGCCCATGGGCTGCGCTTGAATAGTCACTCCAAGTAAAAATCAAAGTCTTGTGCATAGTCAATTTTCGTGGCTGGTCCGGTTGCGGTGAGCTCTTGATCATGCGTTAACAAAAAACGCGCCTGAGAACGAGACGAGATCAGCATGCATGCAAAAGTTCGAAGATTATACTAATGCACTCACCACAATAGCAGCACCTGCAATCAGACCTTCCGTGACACACTGCAGTAGACCAACGCTGACCCCTGGCCTTCAGATGTCCTTTGGTCTTCCCAGACAGTGAAGCCTTCCCGAAGATTTCGACTCGGATGATCTGAGGGATGGAGTTAGTATTAATGTACTGCTCGACAGCAGCTGAAAACGTCGCGCACCTTGGCCATGACTGGTGTTTTGAGGAAGTCGTCTGGAACGAGAGCAGAAGGATCCATGAACAGAACGGGGGCTAGACGTGTATACTTTTCTGCACCGACATCCTTCTTTAAAAGAGTGAGAAGTTGCGCATTCTCCTTCTTTTTGGCAGGCTCGTCAGTGAAGACAGTCGGGTCGAGTTTTAAAGTAGAGAAGATAAGACCAGCGCAGTCCTTGAGACTATGCAGTATGTTTGACCTCTCGGAACTAACCGCAGTGCGAAACTAGAGTATCTCATGCGTAAGGGTTGATGCGCAGACAGAGGGAGAATCGGACATACCACTGATCCAAACTGTGGGTAGGTCTCCATCGGTTTATGCAAAGCCTTGGGAATGCACTGATATAGCTCGGCCATTGCACCATTGAGCTTCGCTTCAGGCGAAGACCAACGCGTATCGCTGCGTGGATCAACGTCTGGCTGGGGTTTTGTCGGAAAGAGCCCGCTCATGACCCAAAAGTAGTTGAGCATGGCGTACATCTTGCCCGCACGGGTAATGTCATTGTCGATGGTTGATGTCTTCTTAAGGACTCGGTTTCGGCTGCGTGCAGGGATAGCAGCCTGAAGCATCGCATGGTCTTTCTTGAGAGTGCGCAACTCAGACTGAACCGCAGTATAAGCTTGTTGCGCCAGTTCTAGTGCCTAGAGATTCAACTGCTACATCAACCGAACCAAGAGAATGGCAGCATGAGTAAACTCACCTTGCGGACTTCGTGCATGGGCGCGTCAGGCTGAGGAATTGTCAAGACTGTCCTCAGGGTGTCGAGTTCGCTCCGTGCATCAAACTCGTTGTCTTGCTCATCATTTCCAGATTTGGACTCAGTATCCTCAATAGCATCGAGTTCTGCTGCGAAGTCATCTGAGGAATCTCCAGCCTGGGGCATGACAATGAAACTAAGACACAAGAAAGTTAAGTCTGAACAGTGGAGATGAGGCACAACAATTTCACTTGCCTGGTTCCATGTTATAAAGACGTGACCCTGCACAGGGCCAGTTGCTCCGCAGTGTCTTGCCGTCCTTGCTGTTGACATGCGGCATGTTTAGTTCAGCCTTGGCAAAGTCGACATGTAATAAAAGCTGCAGGTCGTTTGACTTAAGTACCGATTACTATCAAATGACTAATGACTCACCCTGATATCGGTCCAACTAGGAGTCAGTCTACCACGAGGGCAGTGTCCATACCATGGCTATTATGACATGTATTATTAGTGTAGTTAAGATAGAAAAACACGACAATTTGGACTTACAGTGGGACAGATACCGGAACATGCTGGGATTCGGCCTTGGGACGCGCTGGTGAGCCGGCCTGATTGGACTGGGAAGGATCAGCAGGGGAGACATCTGCACGTCTGTGGATTGATGTGCTGTGCCATTAAGTGTTGCAGTATTATTGGCAGCAATGCCGTTTGGTGCAGCGATCAGCCTGACTGAATCGCCATCTGACGTAGGAGTGCCAGCATGGTTTCCATTGACTCCGTTCGTGGAAGCGGCGCAAGGGGGTGAGGGCTGCTGCTGCACTACAGTAGGCGAACTCGGGGATGCAATATTCCCAACAACCGGAGGACGCATGGCACCGTTTGATGAGATGCGCATTTGCGGAATGGCAGATGGCGGTTGCATCGCTTTGACATGCGCCTGCATGAATATCAGTACATAGACTGGTGACAGTCGTGGAAAGGAAATGTTGGGTGTTGATAAGCATTCTAAAACAAACAGGTAAGCGCTTGAAGAATGTACTGCATGTAGTCCTACCTCCACCACGTCCTCATACCCGTGGTCACGTTCCTTTTGGGTTTCTTTGCTACTCTTTCTTTGTCGAATGAAAGCTCTTCGTCCTCTGAGAAGGCGTTTCGGGGGGGGAGGGGTGTTGGAGGTGTTTGGAGGGTCGGTTAGCGAGGAACGGCACATCGAACTTTGCCGATGATTTCGATGATTTCACCCCTGCCTGTGCCTAAGCCCATGCTTGCGTTCGCAGTAGCAGTTAGTACCCAACGAGGGAAATTTGCGCTTGAGCTCGGCAAACTCAAAGTGCTTGTCCCAAACCTGTAGCATTTGCTGTGTGTAGTCGCGCTTAAGATTTTCTCGACAAAGGAGTGTTTTGGCGAGCTCCAGACCCTGCATCAACTTGTAGATGTGGGAGAGCGGAGCTGAGCAGTGCATGGTGTGGGCAGAGGAGATGGCTGTGTCGTTGGAGATATGGGAGAGCGGAGCTGAGTATTGGTGCAGAGACACTTTTTTCTGCGTCGAATACCGGCTCTGCGAATGTGGATTCGGCCTCAAGTGTAAGAGGGTTGACGGAATAGTGTCCAGCAAGCCATTGATTGCCTGCCGACATTTGCGAAGAAGAGGTAGATCCATCAAGGCCAGCGCAAAATGTGCTGACCTCACCCTGGACAATACGTTCAGCTGATTCCCTTTCGCAAGTGGACCCAGGGCAACCCTTCTCCCGTGAGACCAACTCTGGGACCTTGGTGCGGATAGCTTCCAGATAACAGAGCGCTGTTTGTAGAACGCTGCCTGACGTCATGGTGCGGGAAGAGGAGATGGCTGTGTCGTTGGAGATATGGGAGAGTGGAGCTGAATCAGAGTGCAGTCAGACGAGGTGATGTTAAGAAAAGAGAGATCCACGTACATATCTGGACATTGTAGTTCTGATTCAGGGTGCTAGAGGTGGAAGTGAAATGGACAAGACATTGGAGCTCGTCACTGGCGTGCTGGACGTGACTTCATGCGCACAAACATGTCACTATCAATGTGGTCGACCACGAGGAATTCATCTCGGTGATCAGGATCAGGGAAACAAACAGCGCCACAAATGAAAGACTGGACTGGAATGAAGATTGAACTTGCCCTTGGGACGGCTTTGACACGAGTAAGTCGTAGATCACGGTCCAACCTGCGAGAAGCACCAATGCCAGCAGTGAATGGCTGAACCAGTGCAAACTCGAAGGAACCAACATCCAGAAGCTGACAACTGAATATAAAAACAAGGCGAACAAAGACCGATACTTCCTGAGTGATTTTATAAGTGCACAGTCATAGCGCAGGTGCCCATGGAAGCTTGGAGTGCATCGGAGGTAGTTGGTAGTTTGCTTCCAGTCGACGGAAGACTCGTAGTGAACTTTGAGATATCGATGTTCGCAAATCTAGTTCAGAAATACATAAATCAGTACAAGACATTTACAAAACAAGATCAACTCACCAAGAAGTTTGTGGGTATGGTAACCCATCTCTCCAGTCGATATCCGTACGTCGGTAATGAGTTGTTGATAAAGTCAGAAAACTTCTTATGAAAGCCTTGAAACGCCTGATCCAATTGGCCGCTGTGGTTCTCGATGTCTTGGATGGCTACGGGCTGTTGTGTCGAACCAAGTTTGATGTGCCCCTCGAAAGCAACGGGATTCGGGACTTCATCGTCATCATTGCCCTCTTCTGCCAATGTGCGCCGGTCGTCAAGTACGTCCACGTGTGCTCTCAACATTTTGACTGCAAATTTGCGCTTGTCAACACGGAGTATCTAACGAGGTCTTTACATGAGCGAACATCAGATACTATGATGTTAGAAACATACCTGGTCAGCGACATCCTTTCCATTCGACTGGTGCTCGTAGGCCTCTTTGAGGGGGCCATGAAGCTTCTCATTCGGACGGGTGCTGTAGTTGCGTACTACACCCTTCATTCGGATGTCCCTAGTTGCGTGCTTCCAGAGATGCGCCTTTGGAAAGTCCCAGTCAAGCTTAAGACCCTCGATGGGAGAATTGAGAGCGCATTCGATGTAGTCCTAGAATGTGTGATCAACAATCTATTTAAAAAGTGAATGAACAAAACATTTACCTTGAGTGCGCTATCAAAAATGAGTAGTTCAGCATCAATTGCTGCCAGCGTGCTTGATGTATGCACGTCGAGACCGATATAGCTGTCCAATTGCAGATAGCTGCTAATAACGCGGAGAAGTTTGTACCCTTCTGGGCTCGTCCTCTGGTTGAAGACGTTTACTGCAGAATAAAAGACTTGCTGCGCAGCAATCAGTATTAGAAAGCCAAAAGCCTCATGATACGTACCTTGGATAGATCTTGCATCTTGTTACCATCACTGAAGGTGATGTGGATGACGGTGCTGAAATGATTAAGATTGCGCCATCGAGGGAAACTAGCAACCCTACCAAAGGTCATGAGTTGATGAGAATCGCGATGTGAATGACTTACTGTTTCTCAACCTTTGACTCTTCATCACGTCCAAGTGCTTTGAGGATTTTCTTCAACTCCTCGAGTAGGTGCCTCCACATGCCAAGATGAGGGCATGAAGGCGGTCAAAACTGATGGCTTGATGAGGATCAGAGTGGGAAATGAGCCAGAAAACATTCTGTTGATGTATTAGCAAAGATCAGAATTGTATGGGATAACGAGATATGAAGGAGATGGGCAGGAAGAGGAGAATTATCAGATAACTAAAACACAGAACTATGGGGAATCTTGCCGGAGGTCCAGTGCGCGAGCATCCCTCTGCTTTAAAACAGCGAGAGCGGCAGTCTAAAAGGATTGAGGTCCAGTGCGCGAGCATCCCTCTGCTTTAAAACAGCAAGAGCGGCAGTCTGGAAGCTACTCTGCTTGAACCTGTAATTTACAAGCAAGCGGAGGCGAAACGAGAGAGTGAATATCACTGCTGACTTACCATGACAGTGCGCAATCCTAATGCCTTGAGAAGTTCCTCGCCTTGAGCTTTGCTGACCTTGTAAACATTGAGTGCAGCTATTGCTTCTTCCACTGATCTAAATGCAAATGTCTTTGATAGCTCGCTAAGTTCCTCGAGTGGTACAAGACATACCGGACAGGGACATTTGCTATGGTGGCCGCGAATGAGAGACATCATGCATCTAGAAACAGTCTGATATCAGATTGCGGACACTGTGTGTAAGAATACAGAACTTACTGTTCTTCATAATCAGCAGATAGTATCAGAATAATGGGAAACAGCCAGCGCGCGATCTTGTCATAGCAAGTATGTGAATAGCCAGACTTTGAGTATTGTGCGACCAGTTCCAACAGCTTTAAGAATGCCTCGTGCCATACGACGCGCTTGAGGTTTACGAACCCTGGCTTGCCTTCTTCGTCTGCATCTTCAGATACCTGCAACTATAATGAGTCACGTCAGAAGATTCAATCAGAATGTTGACGTACGATTGGCAACCACCCGACAACACGGCCACCACCAATACCCTCTCCGTTTCGTATGCCAACTGGCAAATTCGTGCAATGGACCACGACAGGATATCCCTTTACTGTACCATGAGACGACAGTCTTGTCTTGTCCGCATACAGGATGAAGCAGAACGGAGCAGCCTTAATGTCATTTGGAAGGCGACTCTGGTTTGTTGATGCTGAGTGAGAGTGGATAGTAACATTAAATAGATATTACATGCCTGTATGTCCCACCATCGATCACCCGTCCACGGCTCGTTGTAAAAGCGTTCAAACTCCCTGCCGTTATGCTTGAAAACTTGTTATGCGTCCCAGACAAAATGCGGAGCAAGCAGCGGATTAGCTAGCAAATCAAGGGCCCAGTCCCACAGAGGCAGCGCGTGGGTCTCATATACTCGTTGTTCTTTCTTATAAGGAACGGTGATGTCGTGTTTTACAAACTAATTCACAACATATATCATACAAAATGTGAGATTAATTAATGACATACCGGCGTCACCTGAGCCGTTGCGTGTTCCCAAGCTTTGCGCAGCTCAATGTCATTTTTAAAAGTGACTCGGCTCTCCCCTCTCGATATGCGGCCAATAAGCGCAAGGAGCCCGTCAATGTGTGACTTGTTGAGGGCGGCATTGAGTGCGATCTCCGCAAACTCGAAGTCACCACGGGAACAGAAAGGACGCCAGGGCTCTTCATCTACGGGAAGCTCTTCCTCAGGGTGTGTATTGACGCCAAACTCCTCAAATGTTTGAAGGAGCGGTTCACGACGAGCAGAAGGATGATAGACCGTTTTGAATTCAATGGGTTGTGGAGGAGGTATTGCAGGTTGCGGTTCAACAGAACCTCACTGGCTGTTGGCTATGCAAAAGAATCAGTAAGCGATACAGGTGAATATGGTGCACGCTTACCTAGGCTACCAGCACCTTCGAAGTTGCCATCGTAAGCTTCGAAATCACCAGCGTTTGGGTTATCTGCTGGCAACACAGAGTCAGCTAGTGTCAGTTGGCATTGTAGGGACACGCAAAGAATATGCGAGACATACCTAGAGGACCATGATCTTTGATCGCAGGGGGCGCGTTCTGAATCCCAGCGACTGATCGCGATGGGCCAGCGCTGGGCGTTATCATGCCCATGTCAGTGTAAGCCTGCTGCCGAGCTGCATACCTCAATATTGTCAAAGGAAACCATCAAGAATGGGTAGCAGAGGACTCACCTCTCCTCTGATCTCGTGCATATTGAAGGGCAAACTCTGCTCGTTCTGCCTTGGTGTCCTTCTGCTTCTTGCAGCTTGCTTCGTGCTTCTTGAAGCCTTGGGTCTTGAACTTCTTGCTACAATGCAGGCATGAAAGCTGCCCTGTCAGAGTTTCTTCTGAGAAGTTGTATTTGCTTCGATGAGTGCGAGAGGGACCCATGCTGATAGCGACGATGCAATACTGTACAATCGATGAACATTATTGTTTATCGATATCATTTCATAAGACAATCTCACGCTTGTGATGACCTCAGCCGCCCTTGAAAGGCACTTGTAATGTACCTTTTAATGCACATGACCCAAGTCGTAAGCCGGCAGCATTACAATGGCATGTAACTTTTTCCGACATGATGTCAGTGATGGTTCAAACATGGACCAGAAGATTGTTTACCTTGACATAGAAAATGCCACATGCGTAGCAAACACCCAAGGTGGGGAACAAAGCAACAATGACACAGCTGAATTGTAGCCTAGCATTGCACTCAACATTGGGAAAAAGGTGTTGAATGAAAGCAAGACATTCAAGAGCGTCATTGCAAGCACAAGCCACCAGACTTTCCAATCTGTTCTTTGGCTGTGAGCCAGGAACGCAATGTGGTAATGGTAGGGAAGTCAGGAAGGATGAATATGGCGCATATTGCAATGCAAATTGTCATAGAACCTTCAGTGTAAAACAGCCATCTTACGAGTGATGCTAAGAACCAGATCGACAGGAAAATAACACCACCTACCTCCAAGCAGTGAGGCCCATGACTCCATCCATGTTGTCCAGGATGGCTGATGCCAAGAGTGACCCAAAGGCATTACCGATCATGATACCTATACAACCAAGGTTGGGTGCATCAAATTTAATATTGAAAGAAACTGACCACAGCTTTATATTGCTGTTCCTTGGCCAAGCTCTCTTCGCTTGTACCTGAGTGATGTCAGTGCGAGGAAAAGTCATATCCTTCTTTTCAGTACTCACCATTTAGATAGAAGAAATAAAGCACCAGGAAAGAATGCGGCTTGACACAGCCCAGGAAGAACCGAGTGCATACAGCTCCAAGGAAGCTTCAGAACTTCTTCAGTTTGTGTACAACCCAAAAGCAAGAAACTGCACCCCCTCGTCATTCCTGTTTTTTTCTAAAATCAACATCAATAGTCTTCTTGCTCAAGTGCTGAGCTGACCCGTCAGGATTGATATTGTCCTCAAAGCCACGTAATCTAGCTGCACTTTTACGTGACGAGCAGAGCTGCAACTTCAGCTATGATATGAAGATCGGCATGAAACATGAACCCACACTGTCTTACTAGGATGTGAAAGGCAATAAAAACACCAAATTTCACTTATCCTCCACGGTCAACGGTTCAGACAAATACCAACGGTTGATAACGTGGTTGTTCGTGGGGGCGCAAATATAGATTGTGTTCTCCTTGAGCAAATTTACCAATGACTAAAAAAAGGGGTGAGATATTCGGGAATCTCAGGAACAATGTGCCCGTTAACTGGCTTAATGCAGTACTTAGGGTTCTTCAGGGATAATGATGCGACAGTACGCAGATTACGGAAAGTTATGTGAATTACAGTGATACGTGGTGAGTCAGAGTGATATGTCTGGGATACTCCTTATTCTCACAATCAGGGGAGATCAAACTAGGAGTCGGATACAGTTGAATCAATCAAATACTTGGCTTCAAAACCGACCTTTCTGCTGCTCAGGATCTCACAGTGAGTAATGACGCAGTCCAGACTAGAATACACCTTCTTGATGTAGTCTTAAGTGGCCAAGCTCTTAATATTGTTGACTAAAGTATAAGTCCTATTTATCGTCCTCAATCGTTAAAGTACGTGGATTTCTCCCCACAGAATTGATTTCCTGTGTCGTAAAGAGAATTGCAGTGAAACTACACTAGACGACTAGTAACCGTGCACTAGCTAGAGTAATTTAATGTGACTTAGAGGTGGCCTCAGGTAGTCAGAACGTCGTGGGAAACAGTGACAAAAGAGTGGAGGGAATAAACTAATATTCACTCAGTATTCACACAGATATTAAGGGGTGAGAAACTTTCTGAGAGATACGCAAACTCTCTAAAAAGGGATCTTATTATTCAAAGAGGGAAACTATGTCCCTTTATATACTACTCTACAGGTGGCTATGCAACTACTAAATATGGAATAGTGACTCATAATGACTCCATGTGACTTACTATGACTCAGTGTCCAAATGTTCACTTAGAGATTACCGCTATTTCGGAACTGTCCAGAAACTATGACTAATCATTAAACAAAATGTAGATTACGTAAGAAGATTGACACTGCTCAGATGATGACTGCGCAGATGTTGAGATGTTAAGATGTTAACACGAATATGGCTCATTAGGTGGGAAAATGTACGAGAAAATCCCGAAAGGTGCGGGAATGTGCTTACTAATGAAAGGATAAGGTTTTTTAACACAGTTTGTTGACTGTGCTAAGTACGTAATATGAATGATTAATTCATGTAGCTATGAAAAACCTTCAAGAAAATTATAGTAAATTGTAATAAAGCCATAAGAAATTAGAACTGCCTTTATTGGCAGTATTAGATTGTACGAGAGTATGTTATGTGTCCGTGATCATGTACAAAACAGGTTTCGTGCGTGTCAACGCTGCATTATTGCGATCAATCTGCAGTTGTCAGATTATCATCCAAAGTCAGTAGGTACAAACTTGGCTCACATAGTTTAAGATATAAATGAGGATGAGGATGGACATCCTGAGGTCAACTTTACGGAGAAGATTTTGTTCCACACGCTGTCTGTCTGGGAAATCATTGTAATTGGTATCCTGCAAGGTGATATCGTTGTCCAGGTCACCCTCGCATGCAATATCAATATCTTCACATGCTTTAAAACAAATGGAGGGTCAATGGCTCATTTAATAGTCTTCCTGTCAAACTCACGCAAAAGTTTGTATGCAAGCCCATGAGAAGTTCTGCTCGACATGATATGATCTGGGACAAAGAACATTATTTGTTAGCTGTCACAACCCTTTAAACGAATTAACGCTGGGGCAGAGACTAGGACTCAAACGAAGGTTATCTAACAAAGAGGAAGGGATAGCAGGGACGTCTTAGGATTGCTAGCAATAAGCTAATACAAAAGAGGTTTGAACTGAAGAACTACTGACTACAACGAGCTACCTATATACATATATTGAAGCGGAGACTGAATCTGAATCTGAACTAACTAACCAATCATTAAATAGAAAAGGGAATCGTACGATGATCTAAATATAACTACACTATGATGTCATGGAACGTGTGATGGCTGTGCAAGGGTTCTCAAAGGTTCTAGAGTCACGTGACTTGATCGCTTGTGAAAGGAAGTCGAAATCGGGGATGTTGGAAATAGAAGTAGTAGGCGCTAACGGAATAGAGAAGTTCGGGTTAGGGTTTATGAATGTTATAGGTACAGACGCTGATTGAGCGCTAACAACGGGCGCTTGTGATGGGCGCTTAACGGGTGTCTTACGAGTGTTCAAGAAAGAATAATGATTTGTATTTGGAACTCGTGACATTACCCCCTCTCTAGGATGAGCGTCATCGCGAATGTAAGAAGGTCGGATATTTTTCTCTCTCCATTGCTTGAATGCATCCGTATCCAAAATAGATCCAAGAATTCGTTTGGATTTAGCAGCCGTGGGATTCTTTTTATGGAATTCCGCAATTAGAATCGGGGAGTTTTTAACGTTTTCTTCTGGTTCCCATGTCGACTCTTCTATCGGATATCCTTCCCATTTTACTCGGTACTGCACTTTTCCTCGGAATTGTCGGCTATCTAATACTTCTTCTACGACAAATTCTTCCTGATCGTCAACAATGTCTGGAGGTGGTCGGGTGGGTTGAGAATGAGGGATCAATTGAGATGCGTAATATGGAGTAAGCAACTCTACATGGAAAACCGGGTGAATCTTATAGCTCTCTGGCAACTTCAATTTATAGTTCACTTCACCGGTCTTCTCTAGTATTTCAAAGGGCCCAAGACGACGATCTGACAACTTTTGACTTGGACGACGTTGTTTGATGTTTTTTGCGTCTAGCCAGACCTTGTCTCCCTTTTTATACTGAGGTGCGTCTTTAACTCCTTGGTCATAGAAGCAGTTTCATGCGTTCATTAACCATCTTTAGAGTATTTTCCGCATCATCTCATGCTTCTCTTATTTGATCTGCTCTCTCATCGGCGGCAGGAATATAGGATGTGGAGTTCAGAGATATGGTGAATTCAGGATTATATCCATAGAGGACTTTGAACGGACTATGACCGGTTACTGTGACTGCATTATTATGTGAAAATTCTGCTATCGGCAGCCAAGATACCCAATCATTTTGTCTATACGAGGCAAACATGCGCAAGTATTGTTCAACTTCTTGATTTACACGCTCTGTTTGTCCGTCTGTTCTGGGGTGATAGGAGGTCGAAGCAGACCATTTTATTCCTAATCTTTTCGATACTTGTCCCATGAACTTCGAAATGAACTGTGTTCCTCTATCCGAAATCACTTTCTTTGGTGTACCATGATGTTTCCATACGTTCTTTAGAAATAGCTCGGCAATTCCTTTCGAGTCTACGTCTTTGGTGGTGGGAATGAAATGTGATTGTTTCGAAAATCGATCAACGACAACGAATATACTGTCACATCCTTCACTCTTCGGCAAGTCCACTATCAGGTCGCATGAGATCGTTTGCCAAGGTCCTTCTGGAACTTCATTTGGCTGTAAAGGTCCCGTTGGTCTACTGGGGAACACTTTCGTTTGTTTACATCGATCGCAACCGTCTACGTAATCATGGACATACTTCGTCATTGAAGGCCACCAATAGTTTCTGGAAATCAATTCTAAGGTTTTGGCACGTCCAGGATGTCCAGCCGGTGGAGAGTCGTGAAACAATTCCAGTATCTCTCGGCGGATCTCTTTATCATTTGGAACGTATACCAGTCCTCGGAATAACACCAATCCGTCCTCAACATTCCATTCTTCGATTCCTCTGCGCAATTGTACCGGTGCTACTTTTAGCGTTTCTAGCGCTTTCATTACTTCGGGCTCTCGTTCTGTGCTCTTTCTTATCTTTTTCATGAGCGAACTTTCTCCTTCTATGAGAATTTGGCCTCGTTTAGCAGCTTTGATTTTGAAAAATTCC